TCATCCTGTTCATTCATAAAAGCCTTGTGTGGTGCCTTCTGTGAGCGGCCTCTGGGGGGGCGGGGGGGCTGAGTCCCGCGCAGCGTGCACGCACGGGGAAGAGCAGACCCCACGGAACGGGAGGAACGAGTAGGGCACTGCCTGGAAGCCAGGAAATTGAGTCTCTCTGAAGGAAGCTCCAGTTGTGCTGGGGTGGCTCCTTGAGAGGAGAGCAGTGGGCCGGCCAGGGGACCCCCGGACGTGGACCTGAGGCCTCCCACGGCCGGGACCTGGAGCCGCTCGCTTGCCGCTGGGGAGGTGGTGTGATTTCATTACTCACCGCAGGGACCCTCCTGCCAGCCTTCTCTCCATGCCCCCCGGCCCCCACCCCGTGTCCCCTAGGCCTCTGCGTGCCATGCACTGGGTTTTCCCGCTGGGCATGGTTCCCTGGGCCCTGTCGGGCTGCTGCGCATCTACCGGGGGTTCTTCCCAGTGCTGAGGAGCGCTCCGCACCGTGGCCCGGCCACTGCTGTCAGTGTCTGCCTGCGCCCGAGGGACATCTGGGGGAAGCTGCCCTGGAATTCACCTGTGGGCGTTGGAGGGGACGTTGGTCTTCGCTTCGGCAGGCAACTGAGCTCCTGGGGTCAGGGCAGCTGCACCTGCGTGGCTGGCGGGAGGGGGTGCTGGGGCGGCTCTGTGGGTGCAGCAAGGCAGGCCTCCTGCTCTCCCGGTGGCAGCTGTCAAAGGCTTTGCAGCCAGGGCCTGTGAGACCAGCCCCCTTTAGGGGGAGCGTGGCTGAGGGTTGAGGCCGCGCTGGAGGCTGGAGACCGGGCCCAGGGCCTGAGCGGGTCAGCAGGAGAGGGCCCGTGGGAGGCTGAGGACCAGCCAACAGGTCCAGGCGGGCCTTGCCCCCGAGGCACTTCTGGGCAGGTGCACATCGGGTCAAGTGTGTAGCGCTTCCCGGGGCCAGGGATTGTGTCACGGGCCCGAGTCCCAGCTCCCGGGTGACAGACATGGCAGCAGCTCAGCTGGCCCAGGAAGGGCATCTGGAAAACTAACCTGGGTTGCTCTGGCCAGCTCGGCCTTGCCCCGAGCCTGGTCCCCCTGCCTGCCTCCCCCTGAGCGCTGTGATGGCCCGGCGCCTCCTGGGCAGTGGGCCTGGCGTGTGCCAGGGCAGAGGGCCCGTGATGGCTCTGCACCTGGCCCCCGGGCTTCCCGCTCTCGACGTTGGCCCAGTGCAGACGCCACGGGAGACACGCGTACTTTCCTCCGACAGCCTCACCTCCCTGCACCCGCCGCCTCCACACCTGCCTTTCTCTGTCCTTCCTGGCAAAGTGCTGGTGGCCCTGGGAGGGGAGGCCACTGATCGCCCCATTTCCCAGGCACACCAGACAGCAGGCCATGTGGTTCCTTTTTGCTACTCCTCCTTGGCTTTATTGATTTTTTTTTTAATCATTTGAGAGAGAGAGAGAGAGAGAGAGAGACAGAGACTACAAGCAGGGGAAGCGGCAGAGGCGGGGGCGGGGGGGGATGCAGACCCCTTGCAGAGCAGGGAGCCTGATGCAGGACTGGATCCCAGGACCCCGGGGTCATGACCTGAGCTGAAGGCAGACACTTCACTGACTGAGCCCCCTGGGAGCCCTTGTTAACACATGATTGATGTTAATAGTGTGTAAGTTTGTTTTTTTTTTTTTAAGATTTTATTTATTATGATAGACACAGAGAGAGGCAGAGACACAGGCAGAGGGAGAAGCAGGCTCCACGCAGGGAGCCCGACGTGGGACTCGATCCCAGGACCCCGGGGTCACGGCCTGGGCTGAAGGCGGTGCCAAACCGCTGAGTCAGCAGGGCTGCCGGATGGAGTGTAGGGTCAAGGGGGTCCAGCCTGATGATCTGATCACGGATGTGCATGAAGCAGTGGGCGCAGTTAGGTTAGTTAGCACGTCCATCACCACATTACGGTGCCTCTCTGTGCGGGTTTTGCTTCTTCTGGAGCTCAGCCCGGGCTGCGGTCTTGGCTGTGGCTCCTCGGCTGCGAGGGGGCATTAGTGGGGTTTGGTAGGGACCCAAGGGACCTCAGCCATGCCCTGGGTTCAGGACTCCCTGACATCTCCAGGGGCTGAACCCACATTTTAGGCTTTGGTTTTAAGGGAGCGCCCTGAGCCGTGGCCCGGCATCTTGCCAAATGTAAGGCTGCTCCCTGGCCCAGCCTCGAGGGGTCCCCTCACAGACATGCCCCCCATCCCCTCCTGGGGCTCGCGGCCGTGTGTCGTGCTGATTGATGCTGTGTGTGGTGCCCCCCTCAGCATGTCTGCACGGCCTCTGGAGTGCTCCGGGGGGTCAGGGTTCGGGGGGCCGGGTCTCTTTTGCCGTCATTATTTTTTTTTAAAGATTTATTTATCTTAGGGGGAGAGTGTGCACACATGATGGGGACAGGGAGGGGCAGGGGGAGACGGAGAGAGAATCTCAAGCTGATGGCACGCTGAGCTCAGAGTCCAGCGCGGGGCTCGATCCCTCCAGCTGAAGCCAAGAGTGACCGGCCGCACTACCCAGCTGCCTCGAGTTCGTTTTTAAAAAGCCGGCATGGGGCGGGTCCCTTTCTGCCCTGGCATGATTTTCACTGGGTCCACCCCCAGAGAGTGCCTCCGCCTGGTGTCAGCAGCACCGAGGGGCTGACCCTGGTCAGGGGAAACCACATCAGAAATTGCGCTGCGAGTGCGCATGCCCCGCCCGCAGCGTGCAGTGAGGGAGCAGCGTGGATCCCGCCAGGCCGCGTGGGCTCGTGTGCACGGCCTCACGCTCGCTCCTGGCCCCAGAGCTCTCCGGGTGTCGGTCGCAGGGAGCAGGTGGCCTCTTGTCACGTTTGTGGCAGAGGGGAGTTGTTTGAAATTGGAAGGACGGGGGACGGCGTGAAGGAACCGCCTTCCTTGAAGATGGACCCACGGTCGTTTTATTCATCCGGAAGGATCCGCGGCAGTTGGCAAAAGTACCAGAAAGGTGCTGTAGCCAAGGCCCCTGCTTCGTGACGTGGGGTTGTGGCTCGGGTCTCCTCGAGTGTGGTCAGCCCCTCGGATGTGGCCGAGGGCCTCTGGACTGCGGGACAGCGTGGACACGTCTCGAGGCCCCAGTCCATCGAGGAGGCCAGCCGTTTACCCCGGCAGGGAGGCTCCCCACTCGGGCTGCAGTCGTGGGTCCGAGCGTGGGAAGGGTGCCCGCCTGTGGGGCGCTGGAGCTTTCTGGAGCACAGGCCACATCGTGGGTGTGAGTGGGCGGCATCTGCCTGGGGACGCCACTCAGCCAGTGCATGGACGTGGGGGGACCCGGTGGTGGAGCCGCAGGGGCAGGGCTGGGGGTTCTGGGCCCCGGGAGGAGGCTCCGGGGCTTCAGTCTGGGGGGGCACCAGGTGGCCGCTGGGGGCAGTGCGCTCTTACACTCGGAGGCTCTCGCGCCGTGTAGTGACGTCGCCCCACGACGTGGCCTCATGCAACAGGCTGTCACCCCGCGGGGTCAGGAGTCTGGCCTTGCAGCTCGGGGTCCTCGCGAGGCTGCGGAGCACGTCAGCCTAGGCTGGAGGAGCCCGTTCCTGCCTCGGCCTCTCCCCGGCACTCTTGAGTGTCCTCCCGGCACGGTGGTGTCCTCTGCTGTCCCCCTCCACCAGTGCGGAGCGACCTGCTGTGCCCTTCATGACCTGGTCTCGGAGGTGACACCCCATCCTCTGCCCTACTCTTGGCTGGAAGCGAGTGGCCGAGTCCAGCCTCTGCTCCTGGGACGGGATGGTCTCCAGCCTTTGCGGGAGTGAGGCGAGGTTTGTGGGCATCCCGTCCCCAGCTGCTGGCCATGTGTGGGGGCTGAGCCAGCGGAGGAGGCAGGCCCGCTGCTTGGCCCCTGCGCTGGGCGGGAGAGGCTGTCGCCCGAGGGGACCCGAGGCCGCATCAGGCCAAGCGAGCTGGAGCAGGAGCAGAATGGGCTGCTCGCGGCTCAGGTGGAGCGGGGATGAGGGCGCCGCAGCCCCGTGCCCCGTCTGGATGGCCTTCCGGGTGACTCTCTGATCCTTTGGATCCCTCGAGGCTGAGGTGGGGGTCAGCATGCTGCCCTGGGAGAGCCCGCTGAGCCCCGCATCCCCTCAGCGCTTGCGGAGGGGAAGGGAGACGCGTAGGTGTCATGTCATGTGTGCCAGGGCAATGGGCCAGGGTGACGGCAGTGGACGCCCGGGCTGAGGGGGACCTGGGGGCCGTCTGCGTGGGCGTGGGCCACCGGGCTTAGACTGGTCCAGGTGCTGCGGTCACTTAGGCTGAGTGTGGAGTGCTCAGCAGGTGGCATGATGCTGAGTGGGGGTTTACGAGTTCACTGCTGCTGGGGAAGGAGCTTTTGGGGATCATTGTGGGGACAGATTCCATCCTTAGAACACTCTGTCCGTCGTCCAGATACCAAACCCTTGCCCCAGAGGAAGATTGGGCCTGGGGGGTCCTCCAGGAGAGGAGTGTGGTTTGGGGGTTCACAGAGGCGTCAAGTTAGGCTTGGTGTCCCCAGTGGGCGTGGGAAGGTCCTATGGGGCTGGTGCCGCATGTGGGGCGCGCTGTGTGGGGCCTAGAGGAGCTGTAGGTGGTCCGCCTGAGTGGTCACGGAGGCAGCGGCACCCGGCGGAGGCTCACGGTCTGGGCCTCTCGGCAGCCTCGGGGCTACTTGGTGTGCGGAAGGGGCCGCTCACCTGCTGTGTGACTAGACAGGACGCTCGCGGTTCCCGCCTGCTTCGGGCTTGGTGCCAGGTGCCCTGCAGACACCACAGCTCCCCATGCTGAGCCTCAGTTTCCCATCCTGTAGAGGGTCGTATGCCTGGGCGCATGACCGAGGCAACACAGGGGACGCCCCTCGCAGAGTGGCTGCCCGCTGGCCAGCTGTGTCCCACACCCCGTCTGACAGCTGAGTTCTTGGGCTCTGACCCCTCCCACCACCCCCACGACCCTCGGCGTTGGGGCCACAGGCCTGGGCCCCGCCTTGTGCTCATGCGCCCTGCTCTGCAGGTACGGGCGAGAGCGGCAAGAGCACGTTCATCAAGCAGATGCGGATCATCCATGGCGCAGGCTACTCGGAGGAGGACAAGCGGGGCTTCACCAAGCTCGTGTACCAGAACATCTTCACCGCCATGCAGGCCATGATCCGCGCCATGGAGACGCTAAAGATCCTGTACAAGTACGAGCAGAACAAGGTGAGGCCTGGGTGCCGTCGGGGGGTTGCTGCCGTGGCAGCAGGTGCAGGGGACGCAGCATGGCCTGGCTCCCCTCCCCGTCAGGTCAGGACCCGCCGCCTCCAGCCCCTGCGCCTGGTGTGTCCTGCCATGCCTCAGCCCTCCTGTGGGGTGGCCCCCAGTGCCCCCAGCACCCCGTTCTACGGCAGAAGCTGGCCCAGGGTGCGCAGTGCGAGCTCCCGGCCCTCGGTCGGCCCAGCATCCTGCAGGCCCCACACACACCACATCCGATGCTCTGGGGGAGCCCGGGGGTAGGGCGCTTCCCTTCCTTTTTCTTTAGTGATGGCTTATTTTTTTTTAATAAATTAATTTTTATTGGTGTTTAATTTACCAACATACAGAATAACACCCAGTGCTCATCCCGTCAAGTGCCCCCCTCAGTGCCCGTCACCCATTCGCCCCCACCCCCCGCCCTCCTCCCCTTCCACCACCCCTAGTTCGTCTCCCAGAGTGAGGAGTCTTTCATGTTCTGTCTCCCTTTCTGATATTTCCCACACATTTCCTCTCCCTTCCCTTATATTCCCTTTCACTATTATTCATCTTCCCCAAATGAATGAGAACATACACTGTTTGTCCTTCTCCGACTGACTTACTTCACTCAGCATAATACCCTCCAGTTCCATCCACGTTGAAGCAAATGGTGGGTATTTGTTGTTTCTAATGGCTGAGGAATATTCCATTGTATACATAAACCACATCTTTATCCATAGTGATGGCTTATTGAGACCAAATTCACTCGCTGGGCAGGTGTCCCCTTAAAGCGTGCAGTTCAGTGCTTTCTGACACACGCAGCTGTGCAGCCACCACCAGTGTCTAGTCTGGGGACATTCTCATCACCTAAAAGGTGACCCTGTCCCCATCAGCCGTCCCCCCCCCATTCCGCCCCCCCCCCCCCCGAGCTCCCTCCCCGTCCATGCAGCAGCCCGTCCTGGACGTGTCACACACGTGGACTCACACCCCGTGGGGCCTCTTGTGTCTGGTTCCCTCCCTGAGCGTCATGGGCTCAGGGTCCATCCCTGGGGTGGCGAGTGGGCGCCTTGCCCTTGTTTGCAGCTGGGGGATGTGCCCGTGGTTGAGGGACACAGTGTGTGTGTCCACTCATCTACTGATGGCCACCTGGGGTGTTTCCAGTGTTTGGTGCATGTGAGTCATGCTGCTGTAACATTCATGAGCAGGTTCTGTGTGCACCTGTTGTCACTCTCCAGGCTGTGTTCCCAGGTGACTGGGGGGTGGAGGGGGTCACAGGGCAGCTTGAGGTCTGCCCTTGGGAGGAGCTGCTGGCTCACCCTTGCTGCAGCAGCCCCCACCTGTGCACCAGTGGGCTCTCAATGTGGCCTCCCTTGGCTTTCCTTTTGTAGAAGTATTGGGGGTTCTTACGAGTTGAACCCCGGAAGTTTGCCCTGGGCTAGCACAAGGCACAGGAGTCCATGTTTATGCAGTGTGGTTTAAGTGCATCCGGTTGCTCTGAGGCTTAACAAGGTCAGTCGGCCAGATGCTGCTGCGTCTCCGATTGGCACCTGCCCCCCTTTACCCCGGCTCTCAGATAATCAGGGACCCCAGCATGGCCCGGCCTCGGGTCGGGGGCCTGCTGGAGCCCCTTGTCCTCTGAGTCTGGGTTTGTATGGTCTGCTCCACTGAGGCCCTCCCCAGCATCCAGCCCATGTGGTCTAGCTGGGCCGGCGTTTGGACCATCGATGTCCGTCAGCACCTAGAACAACAGTCGCCAACTGTGCCCGCTTTTGTAAATAGAGTTTTATTGGTACGTGTTGCGCCTACTCACATATCGTCCTTGCTACAGCGGCAGGGATGGGCCGCAACCCTGGAAATACTACAGTCTGGACTTTTGTAGAAGCAGCTCACGGATCCGTGATCCTCACGCATCAGCAGTGGGGTTTTCCGGGGCTGCTGTCTGCTTCTCTAGGGCAGACGGAGGGGCAGACGGAGGGGCCGACGGAGGGGCCGCCGAGGGCTGCAGGCCACGGCTGTGGGGGGAGGAGAGCACCACTCGGAGGCGGCTCCCCAGCCCAGGAGGAGCCTGCTGGCTTTCAGAGCCCAGAGTAGGGCTTCCTTGGTCCCCATTTAGGCTTCTGCCCGGGTGTGTCCTCCCCAGTCCTTCAGCTGGTGGCTGGTGCGGGCACACGGAGTGGCTGGAGGAGAAATGCAGAGGCTCCAGTCGTGTGCCCGGTGTGTGTGTGTGTGTGTGTGTGTGTGTGTGTGTGTGTGTGTGTCTGGAGCATCGCCCAGGGCCTGGTTCTCGAGGAACCAGCGGGTCTCCAGGCCCCGCGGGTCATGGGGTCTCGGGGGCTCCATCACGCCGCTGGTGACAGTTCACCTGCAGCCCCTCCTGCCCCCTCCCCTGGGTGCTGCCTCTGGCTGGTGTCCCGCCCCCCGCCCACTCTCCCTCAGGGATCACTGGGGTTGTAGGAGCCCTGTGCCGGGAAGGGGTGCAGACCACACAGACTTCTGAGGTGACACCCTCGCCTCGTCGGTGAGATGGGGACGGGGAGCAGCTGGCCGGGGTGTGTGTTCCATTGCTCTGTGTGTTCTCTTCTGGGTCCAGCCCTGGGCCCCTTTTTAAATTTTTTTTAAAAAACTTATTCATGAGAGCCACAGAAAGAGGGGCAGAGACACAGGCAGAGGGAGAAGCCGGCTCCATGCCGGGAGCCCGATGCGGGACTCCATCCGGGTCTCCAGGATTGCGCCCTGGGCTGAAGGCACCGCTAAACACTGAGCCCCCGGGGCTACCCCCTGGGCCACTTTTTAAAGAGCCTGCTGCTCGTTTTTGCTTCTGGTCCCACCTCCTGCCCCCCCAGAGCAGCACCCCAACACTGGGGCCCATTGCACCAGGCAGGGCCTAGCCCCGGAGCTGCCCAGTTCTCAGGCTTTGCTCGGGGGGACCCCGCCCCGAGGGACGGCCACTGTTGCTCACTGGGCTCCTTCTTGACTTGAGCTCGTGCCTGATGGGGTCAGTGGTCCCCACCCCGTCAGGCACCCCCGGGGCCCGGCCCCTGACGAGCCCATGTTCTCCCTGCCCGGTTCCAGGCCAACGCGCTCCTCATCCGTGAGGTAGATGTGGAGAAGGTGACGACCTTCGAGCACCGGTATGTCCATGCCATCAAGACCCTGTGGGACGACCCTGGCATTCAGGAGTGCTACGACCGGAGGCGGGAATATCAGCTCTCGGACTCCGCTAAGTAGTGAGTAGGGCGCCCGCCCCTCGGGCCCCAGCCAGGCTGCATGGGGCTGTCGCACGGGGGCTGTGGCGCCGGGGCTCTCGGGCACACAGGCCGATGCTGGCTTGCTGCTCGGGACAGATGGCCGGAGTGGCAGGAGATGCTCACGGCAGGCGCCTGGCCGGGCTGGAGGGCCGTGGAGCACCTGCCGTGGACTCTGCCCCTGCGCTAAAAGGAGATGGTTTGTTTGGGGCCTGGCCAATCCCCTTCCTCCCGCCGCAGCAGGCGTTCTGGGGCAGCTCTAGGAGCGAGGCCCCCAGCGCCGACCTGACATCTGTCCTGTGGCTCCCTGTGCCCTGAGAGCCTGGTCAGGGGCGAGGAGGCCTCTGTCCCATCTCAGGTCCGCCTCGTCCCAAGTCTTTGGAGCCGCTGTGCCCCTGTTGCTGATGCACGGTGCCAGGCCTGTTCCGGCTGCATAGGGGGACCGTGGTGGCCGGGCTGTCCCCTCCCCGCCTTGCATGCTGACCTGAGCAGCCCTGTCCCTGCTGTATTGCAGCTACCTGGCCGACGTGGACCGCATCGCCACCTCGGGCTACCTGCCCACCCAGCAGGACGTGCTGCGGGTCCGAGTGCCCACCACTGGCATCATCGAGTACCCTTTTGACCTGGAGAACATCATCTTCAGGTATCTGTGCCTTGGTGCCCTGGGGGCGGCTCCATGCGCTGTAGTGGGGGCCGTTCACACCCCAGCACCTTTGCGCCTGCTGTGAGGACAGCAGTGGTTCACCCGGTCCCAGTCTTTGCTCTCGGGAAGCTTTCAACCCATGGGAGAAGGCTTATAAATAACTGCCACCGAGTTTCGGGGTGAGCCACGTCCCAGTAGTGGTATGGGCGGTGATGGAGCTGGCCTGGCAGGAAGGGCCTCCTCGGGGGGCCTCTGTGACGGGGCCGTGGAGGAGGGAGTGTGCTCGTGTAGATGGGGTAGGTGGTCTGGAGGTGCAGCCAGAGCTGGGTGGGCTGTGGGGCGGCAGAGAGGTCCTGACGGCCCTGGGGACCTATGCCGAGAGCCGGGTGACAGATGGTTCCCGGGCTCCGGTGCTGGGGCCCGCAGTGGCTGGTGGCATGTTGGCAGAATGGAGGGGGTTCTCCCTGGGGGCCTGGGTCCCCCAGTTGTGCGGCGCCATCCTTGAGGAACGGCCCGCCGCTCCGCGAGGTCACAGTGTACCTAGAGCTGCCAAGCGGCAAGGGCGAGCGTGTGTCTCCTGGGGCTCACGCGACAGAGGACCGCTCGTGGGCGCTTTCAAACCACGGGCCTGACTTCTCTCCCGGCTCCGGAGGCGAGCGGCTGAGGATTGCTGTGGGCAGGGCTGGGAGGAGGTGTCTGTCCCCTGTGCCTCCGGGCTCCCGGGGGTCCTCGGCCATCCTGGGCATCCCTCGGCTTGTAGACGCGTCGCCCCATCTCTGCCTCCGTGGTCACGTGGCCTGTCCCTCATGTGTCCATGTCCAGACGTCCTCTCTTTGTAAGGACACTGGTGACGGGATAGGGCCACCCCGTTCTGACGTGACCTCATCCTAACTGATGACATCTACGGCGACTCTGCTCCCGAGGCAGGTCACGTCCGCAGATTCTGGATGCACTGAACTTGGAAGACACCGCTCAGCCCAGCGTTCTGAGGGCCGGGCCGGGGGGCGGGGGGCTGTCTGCTGCTAGGAGCCCCCCCGCGCCGCCCCCACCCTGTGGTGATGCCCTCTGCTCCTCTTGCATAGGCTCACGCTGGGGAAGGAGGTGATGCCACCCAGGGCGGGCGTCCCAAAGACTGAGTCAGCTGTGGCAGTTGTCATTGGCTGTGGCCTTCTGCTCCTCGGCCTTGGAGCGCCAGCTCTGAGGAGCACCCGAGGGGACCGCTAGGTGTGCTTTGGGGTGCTCTTTGGCCCGAGACCCGCCTGGGCAAGGGACCCCCGAGGAGAGAGCGGGGGCACCGCCAGCCCTCACCCCTCCCTGCCCTCTGTGCGCTCTCTCGCCCCCCCGGGCTCTGTCGGGAGCCCTCGGTGGCTGGCGGCCTCCACCCTGCGCGGTCTGATGGCACATTTTCCTGGTGAGGGTTCAAGGTGTTAGTTTTCTTTCTCTTTTAATGGGACCCCTGATGGGGCTGTAGCCTCTGGATTCCAGTGCCCCCCAGCCCCCTCTGCAGGGCGTCTCGTGGCCTCACCCTGACCGCACCACAACCTCTCTCTGCCGTGTCCTCTGCCTGGAAACCTGTCCCCACCTCCCCGGTGCCTCCTCCCCGGTCTGCGCTCTGCTCTGTCGCGGGCCCCCGCCTGCCACTGCCGTTTCTCTGCCAGCCCACCCCTTCCTTAGCGGTGCCCCTCCGGGGCAGCTGTGCACCCATGAGGGCAGCCTGGGGCGCTGGCACTGAGCTTGTGGCCTGGCCCCTGACTGTCCCAGTGTGTGACGAGACGGGCCCGGTTCCGGGGAACCTTGTGTGGAGATCCACTCCATACCGGGGAGGCCTCATGCTCCAGAAGGGCAGTGGCCCCAGGTCCCATCGGCCCCGATGGCATTCCCCAGACGGGCCACAGCTGTCGCTCTGGGCCTAGCAGCCTCGCACAGGGCTCTTGGCCAGTCACCACCCTGCTGTCACCACCCTCCTATCCCTTCAGTGTCATCCTGGCACGTCTCCCACCCACCTGTGCTTCCTGGAGTTTCCTCTGAAAGCTCCGCCAGGCGGCCCCATTTCTGTTGGCGGTGCCTAGGATTACCCTGAGTGTTAGCCCCCCGACCCTGCAGCCCCGGAGGGGCCCAGCCGCGGGACCCCTGCCCTCTCGGGACCTAAGGGCCACTGTCCTTGCCTGCTCGTCATCCTTTTAAACGATGACATCTTTGTTCATCATAGAAAACTGAGGGAATTCACAGGTAGCCAGTGGCAAACCCCTGTGCTGAGTCCACCAGCTGCTCCCTTGCACTGGCTGCTCCCCTTCCACCGGCTGCTCCTTTCCGCTGGCTGCTCCCTTCCACCGGCTGCTCCCCATGCACTGGCTGCTCCCCTTGCACTGGCTGCTCCCTTCCACACTGCTGCTCCCCTCCACCGGCTGCTCCCCTCCACCAGCTGCTCCCTTTCCACCAACTGCTCCCTTCCACCAGCTCCCTTCCACCCTTCTGTTCCCTTCCACTGGCTGTTCCCCTTCTACCAGCTGCTTCCTTCCACTGGCTGCTCCCTTCCACACTGCTGCTCCCCTTCCACCGGCTGTTTCCTTCTACCAGCTGCTCTCCTTCTCTCCTTCCACCAGCTGCTCCCTTCTACTGGCTGCTCCCTTCTACCCTATTGCTCCCTTCCACCCCCCTGCTCCTTTCCACCCTGCTGCTCCCTTCCACCAGCTACCTCCTTGTGCCTGGGAGCCTGTTGTTAGTTCTGTTATGTTGCACGTGCTTCTTGTGTAGGACAGGAAACTGTGCCACTTGCTGTTGCTCTTGGCAACAGGGGAAGCGTGTCATTCTCTGAGCCGCCCCCTTGCAATGCCGAGGCGTGTCCACTGCGTGGATGTCCTCAATATATCTTGGTCTCCCTGTGGCAGATACCGAGTCAGTTTCCTGTGTTCCAGACAGCACTCTGGTGGGCATTTGTGCATGTTGCCCAAATGAGAGGGTGGGTCTCCAGATGTGAGATAGGAGGTCCAAGGATTGGTCTTAGGTCCCATGCTCCCTACAAGTGCTTGGGTTCTGGGACCCCCATAGTCGTGATGTCTCCTTCAGGGGCAGGTGCAGATGCAGCACCACCAGTGTGTGTATCGTGTTCTCTTGGTTGTGACTGATGTGAGGGACAGGGGCTCCCCTGGCTCCAACGAGTGTTGGGGGCCCTGGCAGGTCTCTGGGCCATGGTGGTGGAAGGGTCTTGTCGGAGGGACCCTGGTGCTGAGCCCTATGGGGTTCCTGTTTCCTGTAGGATGGTGGACGTGGGAGGACAGAGGTCAGAGCGGAGGAAGTGGATCCACTGCTTTGAGAATGTGACGTCCATCATGTTCCTTGTAGCCCTAAGTGAATATGACCAAGTGCTGGTGGAGTCGGACAACGAGGTGAGGCACCTTTCTCTGTGTTCTTCCCACCCTGCACCTCTGGGTCTTCCTGATGCTGTGTGGGTTGGGGCCCTGGGGGGACCCCCCTTCCATCTTCCATCCTCCATCCTCCCACCTCCTTCTTCCCACAGAACCGCATGGAGGAGAGCAAAGCCCTCTTCCGGACCATCATCACCTACCCCTGGTTCCAGAACTCCTCGGTCATCCTCTTCCTCAACAAGAAGGACCTGCTGGAGGATAAAATTCTGCACTCCCACCTGGTGGACTACTTCCCCGAGTTCGATGGTGAGCCAGGATGGAGGGATGGGTGGGGAGGCTAGAGCAGAGAGTGGGGTCCCTGCCCCTCTGCACCCGTGTCCTGGTGGGGAGGACCAGGTGCCTCCAGCACATCCCTCATGCTTCCTGGGCCTCCATGTCTTTGTGATTTGGCGGCTGGGGTGAAGAGGGCATTTCATGCACGCCCTGATGGAGGCACACTTAGTGTAGGCCGGGGAGCTTCCTGGAGTGCTGATGGCTTCACGGTCCCCCAGCCTTTGACCAATGGAGGGGCCCTTGTGTCCCAAGGGGGGGGGTGTCCTCTCAGGGAGGGGATGCCTGGTGGTGTGTGCACAGCCCCAGGGGGGATGCACGGAGACACTGCCCCCCCAGACCTGGCCCCCTGTTTGCCTACAGCCTGAGTGGGGAGGAGCGAGGCCCTGGGAATGAGTGGGTGAGCCGGGACCCTCTCCTGCTCCCCACTTAGCTTGAGCTCTACAGGAGGCTGAGTGCTGACCATCCTCACCTCCTTTCTGGCCCCCCTCCCATGTGAGCACCAACTGCAGCTGCTGTCTCTCGGGACACAGGACCCTGGAGCAGTCTGGGCCTGGCCACTGCCTCCCTGGCAGCTTGGTCCCAGCTGGTAGAGGAGCATCGGGGACCTGGCTGTGGCCCCGGGAGACAGCAGCTGTGCCCATGTGTGGTGTGCACAGGGGAGCATAGGGCTGTGTGCGCGTGCGTGTGAATATACACATATATTCAGTGGTGGTGTTTGGGGGGATGTGGTAACACAATGGGATGAGATGGGGCCGGGCAGGAAGGTCGGCGCAGTTTGGAGGTGGTGGGGGTGTCTGATGTGGGCTGCAACTGGCGGAGAGGCAGAGGGGCCACAAGGGGAACAGGGCCCAGAGTGGAGGCTGCCTGATGCCGGCCGAGCTGCCGCCTCGGGAGTCCCCCAGCTCGCCTCCAGGCCGGTGGTGTCAGCCTGGGGCTTGCTCGGGGGCGGCAGGAGGAGCTGCCTCTGCTTGGCTGGCACCAGGCCCACCCTCAGTGGACGTCGTCTGCACCTGGCGAGTGTCAGTGTGTGCACAGCAGGTGTCTGTGCACACTGTGGGGGCGGGGGGCGTGTGTCCATGCTCGGGGGTGCGCTCGCTCGGCAGGTGCAGGCCGGCCTTGCTCACCCGCCGCTGCCTCCGCCTCCCCAGGGCCGCAGCGGGACGCCCAGGCCGCCCGGGAGTTCATCCTGAAGATGTTTGTGGACCTGAACCCCGACAGCGACAAGATCATCTACTCGCACTTCACGTGCGCCACCGACACGGAGAACATCCGCTTCGTGTTCGCGGCCGTCAAGGACACCATCCTGCAGCTCAACCTGAAGGAGTACAACCTGGTCTGACCCGGCCGCCGCCGCGCCCAGGAACAGGGACCGCCGCCGGGCCGGGCGGGGGCCTGCCTCCGGTGCCGAGCCCGCCGCGGCTCTGCCCGCCCCGCCCGCCCGGCTCTGCCCGCAGACGAGTTGATTTTGTTTTCATATTTTTAACAAATGGTTTTTATTTCACAGTTATCAGGGGACGTACGTCTTTCTTTCTATACACCTCGTGCACCTTCTCACCTGTGTCAGCGGCGAGGCCGCCTTTTCCTGGCCTTGACTTGTGGCTCGCTTTTTCTATTAAAAAAAAAAAAGGAAAAAAAGAAAAAGAAGGAAAAGAAGGAAACAAGAGCAGCAGAGACGAGACACATGAGCGCACCGCACCCCCACTGCAGGCCCCGCGCCCGGGCCGGCGGCCCCCCGGCGCTCAGCGGGGACAGAGCCACCCGCCGGCCCCCTCCGGCGCTCCTGGCCAAGGCTGGGGACTGTGACCTCTCCTCTCGCTCCCTAAGTTATTGATGTCCCGGACTCCAAGAAGTGGGGGTGGGTGGCGCCCCCCGCTGCCCGCCCTGGGAAGTGCCTAACCTTTTTTTTTTGTTTTTTTTTTGGTGAGGAAACAAAACGCAGTGTGTGGGCTCCCTGGGCCTGGGGGCTCCCCTGCCTCCTGCAGGCTGCTGCCCAGACACCCCCGAGGGGCCGAGGGTGCCTGCTACACCCGGGGAGCCAGGAGCAGGGCCTCTGGGATTGGGAGTCGCTTTTGGTTTGTTCTGTTTGGAAACCAATTTGAAAATCGTGGGGGTGGGGTGGGGACGTTTTCAGAATATTCTCAGGTGTGTCCCCCAGAGGCAGAGAGGGGAGTCGCCTGCTGTGGTGGTACCAGGCATGGCCCCAGGCGCAAGGCCCACTCCCACTCCTATCCCTTCTGCCCCCAAACCCCCTGTCCCCCCCCGGGAGGTGAGGTGAGCACGCAGCACGAAGCGCACTTTGCCCAGAGCCACGGAGGGCCGGCGGGAGCGGGCACCACGGCCCCGGGTGGCTTCCAGGCCTGGCCACGGCCACGGCCGCGCACTGAGCCAGAGCCACGGGCCTTGCCTGGGCCCCCTCCTTCCGAGGGGCGGTGGGGGTGGGAACAAGTGGGGGCTGCTTATTGGGGGCAGTGGCGTTTTCATCCGATGTGGACTGAGCACTACAGTGTTTTTCTGTGGGTTTGTTTTGTTTTGTTTTGATTTGCACAACGTAGCGGGAATGAACTGCCAGTGATGCCTTGGACCCGCCCACCACATCTGGACGCTGCATGGTCGCCGTCGGCCGCTGCGTGTTTGGGCCGGCAACACAGTGGAAACAAGTCGGGATCCACCGGATGCCGGTCCCGTGTGTCCGGCCGCCTCCCTCCGCTCTCCTGACGCACAGGCCCTGCTGCTGAGGGGGGCCCGAGCCGGGAGGGGTTTTGTGGCCACCACAGGGAGCCTCTCTGGGGTGGGGCGGCTACATTCCTGGCCATCGGCCCTCTGTGGGGGCAGAATGGTGGGGGGGGGCAGCTTTCTGTGCCAGTTTCCCCTTGGGGTCTCTACCCAAAGGGACCTTGTGCCAAGTGTCTACACGAGAGGGCGTGTGCCGCAGCCTCCGGGTGCACCCTCCGTGCCAGAGCAGATGGTGCTGCTGGCGGCAGGCCTGCCCAGGGAACTTGGGGTCCTCGCAGGTGGGCATCTCCATGTCTTTAGGCCTGGGGGGCGGTGACAGGAGCATGTGGGCCTGGGCGCCCGAAGTATTCTTTCCGGAGGGAGAAGTGTGCCAAGCACCTCACAGCCAAAGCCTGGCTGGAGCGCCACCGCACCCCCCCCCCCCGCATCTGGGACCCCAAGGGCCCCGGACCCGAGGGTGGGGACGGTGGTGTGCGCCCCAGGGGGCCCGAGACCCGTCCTGTGCCAGTGCCGGGAGCCTGGGGTGCCGGGGCCCCTCGCCCGTTGTGTGAGGTTGGTTTCTCGCGTCCTCCCTGGGGATCTCTGTCCCCCTCCCACTGTGTCAGGCCCCCAGCAGAGGCAGAGCCGCCGCCGGGGCCCCCGGCCCCCCAGAGGTCCCGAACCAGCGGCGGTGCGGGGGGCGCCGGCCTCGGCCTCGGCCTCTGGTGATACTTGTACATTACACAGTCCTGATTTCAGACGGTTGAAACCTTAACCTATTTTAAAGAAGAATATTCTATAAAAATACTGTTTTTAAACCTTTTGTCATTTGAGATGCATGTATTGTCGTGCGCGCTGGGGGACAGGCGCTAGCTGGGCGCCCAGCTCCCGGCCGAGGCTGCAGTTCGGCGGGCGGGCGGCAGGCTTCGCTCAGCGTGTCGGGGCCCTGACCCCTTAATCCAGAGGTAGCTGACGGAAGCGGACTTTTCATATCTTTCTCCTGAAATGAATTCTGTTTTAAATTGGAATAAATTTTGTTCCTAAACGCTGTGGCCCCCTCTGGCTTATTTCCTCCTGCTGGGCGCGGCGGGTGGGGGTGGGCGGTGTGGGGGCGCCCACCACCCACGGGGCTCGCCCGGGCCGCCCTGGGGTCTGAGTTGCCCCAGGGGGGCCCCCTGACACCCCGCCCGGCTCCGACCCGGGCCCCTGCCCTGTGCTGGGCTCTTCCCGGCCCCGACCTCAGGTCCCGTAGTCTGCACCGCGGGGCTGGAGCGGCGAGCAGAGCCTCCCACGTGGGGGCGGGGATGGAGGAGCCCAGCTTCTGGACATTTCTGTATTTCTGTAAACTGGGGAGGTTGGTTGTCGCTGCAGTCTTCTTCGGCTTTTTTTTCTGTTTTAAAAAATGGTAAGCACACATAACATAGAATTCACCATCATAACCCCCTGCAGGCGCACAGCTCAGGGTGTGGAGCACGCTCACCCCGCCCCGCACCCCCCCACCGTCTCCAGAACCTTCCATCTCCCCACACGGAGACCCCGTCCCCAGGAAGCACTGACCACTGCCCCCCCGGCTCCCACCACCTCCTCTGTCTCTGTGGACGGGCCTCCTCTGGGGACCTCCTGGGGTCCTGCAGGAGGTGACCTTCTGGGTCTGGGTCCCCTCCCAGCACGGTGTCCTCGGGGTCCGTCTGCAGGGGGCAGGTGTCAGGCCCCTTCCTAAGGCTGAATAATCAGTTTACGGATGAACCACTTTTTGTTGTATTGTTCATGCCTCAGTGGGCACTGGCGTTTCTACCTCTTCACTAGCGCGAGTCATGCCGAAGTGAGCACGGGTGTGCAAATATCTGAGGCCCTGCCTTCCTGGATCACGGGGCAGTTCTGTATTTGACTTTTTAAGATTTTGTTTTGTTATTTATTCATGAGACATAGAGGCAGACAAAAGGCAGAGGGGGAAGCAGGCCCCCGGGGGGAGCCCGATCTGGGACTGGATCCCTGGACCCCGGGGTCATGACCCGAGCCAAAGGCAGACGCTCCACCGCTGAGCCCCCCAGGTGGCCCTGTACTTAACTTCATGAAGAACCACGACGTCCACATTTCACACCCCACCAGCCGTGCACAGGGTTTCCGTGTGCACATCCTCCTGTGGTTCTATTCACTCATCAGCAGGATATTCCCCGAAGGCCTCTGGTGCCAGGCGCTGTGGACGTGGCAGCGGAGGCGGCCGGTTACCACCAGGACTTAATCTCTGAAGAAAAGTAGAGCAGGAAGGCAGGATGGGTCATGAGAGGGACGCGAGGGGAGGGCATTCCAGGCAGAGGTCACTGCCTGTGCAAAGGTCCTGTGGCAGAACAGCCAAGGGGGCCGGTGTGGCTGGAGCCGAGTGAGCGACTGGTGGAGCGGGACGGGGGGGGGGGGCCGCGGGAGGGGACAGGGCCCTGGGGACTGCGGGGACGCGGGAGGCCCAGAGGGCGGCTGGCACAGGTGGCCCACCCGGCTCGGGTGCTCATGGGCGCCCTCTGGGGGCCACCATGGGGAGGACAGGAGGCCCAGCCAGGCTGCCCGCCCCCTGGACGTCCTGGCCCCGTGTCTGTCTGTCCAGCAGGTGGGCAGGTGCCGCTCCCGCGCCCTCGGGCCTGCCCCCCGCCCCTCCCCTGCAGCTCTAACCTGCCTCTTGCAGGGGGGGAGGGCCCCTCATCTCGCTCTAATAGGGAAACCGAGGCACGGAGTGGCCAGTCCCCCACCCCGACCGCAGCGCAGCGGTCGCCGGGCTTGGCCTCCAGCCGCGAGCTGCCCAGCTAGATGCAGGCGGGGGCTGAGGGGAACACAGGGCCTTTGTTAACAGCAGGAGGATTTCAGGGTGGAACAGCCGCAGAGCGGGGTCCGAGCCCCGCAGCCGCCCTGCTGACCTGTGCACGGACAGCCCTTGGCTGCTGAGCGCAGTGCGCTGGGCCGCAGAGCACATGTTTAAAAAGATGTATTTATTTAAAAAAAAAAAAGTATTTATTTGAGAGACAGAGAGAGAGCTTGAGTGGAGGGCGGGTCCGAGGGAGAGAGAGAGAAACCCAAGCAGACTCCCCTCCGAGTGCAGAGTCTGACGTGGGGCTCGACCCTAGGACCCCGAGGTCACGACCTGAGCCTAAACCAACAGTCGGACGCCCAACCAACTGAGCCACCCAGGCTCCCCGAGAAGAAAGGGCGTTTTTATTTTTAAAAAGATTTTGTTTATTTATTCATGAGAGACACAGACAGAGGCAGAGACCCAGGCAGAGGGAGAAGCAGGCTCCCTGCAGGGAGCCCAACGTGAGACTCGATCCCGGGACCCCGGGGTCACGCCCTGGGCCGAAGGCAGACGCTAAACTCGGGGTGCCCAGAAAGGGCGTTTTTAAATATTTATTTATTTATTTATTTATTTATTTATTTATTTATTTATTTATGATAGTCACAGAGAGAGAGAGAGGCAGAGACACAGGCAGAGGGAGAAGCAGGCTCCACGCACCGGGAGCCCGACGTGGGATTCGATCCCGGGTCTCCAGGATCGCGCCCTGGGCCAAAGGCAGGCGCCAAACCGCTGCGCCACCGAGGGATCCCGAAAGGGCGTTCTTAATAGCAGAGGAGCAGCAAGGAGCACGAGGTTGTTTAGGAATAAAGGCGACCGGGAGGGAGTAGTGCCCCTGAAAACTCGCCGGAGCTCGACGGAGCATAAACGGGCACTTGCGCTTGGGCAGAAGGTCGTGTCTGGGAAACACCGTCTCCCTAGCGCTTCCACACTCAGGCATTTGTCCACGGACAGTGGTCCAGGGGGTCGCCGGGCGGCGTGTGCCGGGTGTCGGGCGGCCCTGAGATGCAATTTAACCAGATGCCCACACAACGGGCAGTCAGCCCACCTGAAAGCCGCTGAGCGCAGATCGTAGGAGTTTGCATCGCAGGAAGACGCAGCGTGACTACGTGTGGCTGCGAATGGTAAGTGGACCCGCTGCGAGGATCATTTCACAAGATACTCAAATATCGGGGCCTTATGTCGGACACCTGAAATGAATGCAAAATTATATGCCAATTAAAAAGAATAAGTTGGGGATCCCTGGGTGGCTCAGCGGTTTAGCGCCCGCCTTCGGCCCAGAGTATAATCTTGGAGTCCCGGGATCGAGTCCCATGTCGGGCTCCCTGCATGGAGCCTGCGTCTCCCTCTGCCTGTGTCTCTGCCTCTCTCTCTCTGTGTCTCTCATGAGTAAATAAGTAAAATCTTTAAAAATAATAATAAAAAAATATGAAATACTGATCAGAAAAACCAAAGAATGGACGAACAGACGGTGGGATATTCGGCCGAAGCAGCAGCGAGGACTAACGACCTCCCGCCGCGGGCAGCAGCACCACGTGTGACCCAAGCCAATTGCAGCGCAATAGGTGGAAACCAGACTCGCCACCAGAGGTCACCTTGAGCAATTCTATGTGAGGTTCAGAAGCGGCTAAAATGAACCAAGACGTGGAGGTTTGCCCGATTCCGTTGCGAGCCTGTAAAGAAAAGCGGAGCAGCGAGTTGCAGCGAGGGGCGACTTTCCGGGAGAGCGTCGTCGACTCAGCCGAGGACGTGACGGTTCTCACGTGCGAGCAGGAGATGCACGGAGCCAAGGGCCCCGGGGGGGGGGGGAGGGGAGGAGTGGGTGCGTCCACGCGGCCGCCGCGGCCGTCAGCCCGCCCCACTCAGTGATCGTACCGGTGAGCAAGTGGAGTAGCCGCGGGGACACATCTGAACGGGACCATCGATCCCAGACTCGCAGAAATCCGGGGACGGGAGCTTTGGTGCCAGAACAAGTGGGCCTCAGTGTGCAGAAGAGGGAGGAGGAGACGAAGGGGAAGGGGAGGACGGGGAGGACGGGGAGGGAGGAGAAGAGGAAGAGCTCCTTGCTCCACACAAAGCGAGCACGTGGACCACAGACCTAAGCGTGACGTGCAAAGCGGTAAAAGTCCCAGAAGAAAAGCCCAGGGAGCATCCTGACGGCCTCGGGTTGGGCGAAGAGCTGTGATAGGCCGCGGAAGGCACGGTCCTCGGAGTTAAAAAACAACATGGGTACATTGAACGTCTTTGAAATTTTTAAAAAAAGATTTTATTTATGAATTCCTGAGAGACACAGAGAGAGGCAGAGACAAGGGCAGAGGGAGAAGCAGCCTCCCCGCGGGGATGCAGGGAGCAGGACTCGATCCCAGGACCCCAGGGTCACGCCCTGAGCCCAAGGCAGACGCTCCACCGCTGAGCCACCCAGGCGTCCCGAACATCATCGAAATTTAAAACGTGTGCTCCTCAAAAGGCCCGGTGAAGGGATGAAAAGCCACCATCTGGCCTGGGAGGGACTATCCGCGAACCCCGCGCCCCATAAAGGACTTGTATCCCGACTGTCCGAGGATTTTCCAAACGCAGGAAAGAGAACACAGGACACAAGACACTGAACGCGATGGCAGATTCGGTGACCAGCTCCTTCCCAGGGGACGCACATTAGGTCCATGATGGGACGCCACCATGCACGAGCTTAGCTCGGCTGAAACGAAAACCACGGGCAACGGCAAGCGTCGAAGGGGACGCCGCGCACCTGGGTGTCTCATCCGTCGCTGCTGGGGCTGCGAAACGGTGCGGCTGCGTGGCGACCCGGTTAGCGGTGTCTTACAGACCCTGGCCCTGCAACCCCAGCGCTTAGGGATTTGTCCCGGAGACATGCCCACGCGCGTTCGCAGCAGCCCTCTTCTCGGGCACCGTGCGGGGAACAGCCGCGGATGTCTGTGGGTGATCGTGAACCCCGCTGGGCGGTGCTCCGTGCCCAGAACACCCCGCTTGTGGGCACGGAGCTCCGCTGCTAAGTGAAGAGGCCCACCCGAGAAGGTAGGACGCCGTTGACATGACGTCCTGAGAAACGTGGGAAAAATCATCGCGACGAAGATCGGCCGTTTCCAGGGACAGGGGACGGGTCGAGGGCCTGACGACCCAGGAGTACCTGGCGGGAGGTTTTCTGGCAACTGCACGGGTGGTAATTTCCATGACTCTGCACTTTTGTCCAAACTCGTAGAACTGGGGCGCTCGGGTGGCTCCGCGGTTGAGCGTCTGCCTTGGGCTCAGAGCATGAGAGCATGACCCCGGGGTCCCGGGATCGAGTCCCGCATCGGGCTCCCCGCGGGGAGCCTGCTTCTCCCTGCGCCTGTGTCTCTGCCTCTCTCTGGGTCTCTCATGAATAAATAAATAAAATCTTTAAAAAGCCCCAGCTCCTAGGGCCCCGATGATGAATACAGCACCGCGTAAACCTGAGAAATGAAGGATGAGATCAATCTTCCGACCAAAAACTACCCGCGGGCACAGGAAGACGGCGGGGTCGCAGCAGCGGGGACCGTGGGGAAGAAGCGAGGCGCATCTGGGTCCCCTCCCGGGCTGACGACGTGCTTCGGCTTCTCCTGGATGCGGATCACGTGGCCGTGGGTTTCACAAGAATTTATTAGGTTATATATTCATGTTTTATGTGTTGTGTGTGTGCGCGTGTCTTAAAAACACACGCACAAGCTCGCCCTGGTATTCCCCGTGCACTAAAACGTGACAGATGTCCCGAACGGCGCCTGGCACGGGGAAGGAAGCAGCTCGCCGGTTAAGGGACCGGAAGGAAGATTTATTTTGAAGCTGGGGACGCTCAGGGTGCCTGGGGCCGCCACCGGGGGCAGGGGCGGGGGCAAGGGAGCAGCTGGGGCTTTGCCCTGAGGCCAGTGGGAGCCACGGAGGACGTTAGGCCGCGGCCGCCTCCCGGTCCCGCTGCGGCGTCCCCTCCTCCGTGTCCTGCGCTCGGCACTGGCATCGGCGTCTGTGACTCAGCTGGGCCTCCCGGTTTTGCCAAGCTGGTTGTTTCTGTTCTGCCGCCCGCCACCCCCCCGCCGCCCCCCTGCCCACCCTCCTGCCCGCCCCGCCTCAGACCTATTTCTGCCTTTGGTCCTTTGCCCCAAGACTGGGAAGTGGCCGGGCCGCGGCCTCAGGGAGCACCTCTCCTCTGGGCCATGGCCATGCAGGGGCGGGAGGCCAGGGGAGTGGGGGGCCGGGGGGCGGGAGAATGGGGCCGCCCCTACCAGGCCCCCGGGACCCAGCGGGGGCCTCTCTGGAACTTCCCATCTGCCGAGCGTTATGAATCAACGGCCAAGACAACCGCGCAACCTCCGGCCGCGCAGGGGGTGGGCGGGGAGGGCTGCCCGCGCTGCTGTGTGATCCCGGGCTCCTCACTCACCCTCCCTGAGCCTCGCCCCGCCGCCATCTGAGAGGTATCCGGACCTCCCGAGTTATGTGTAGTTCCGGGGCTGGGTGGGCATGGGGTAGGGCTTCTAGAACTTTCCAGAGCTTTCTAGAACCTCTCAAAGGGCAAAGATCTGCAGGACTGGAGGCCACCCAAGACCTCCCCTTTTGCTGTGAGTGTCCATCCAGGAAGCGGCCGTGTACTCACCTCCTGTGTCACCGTCCTTCTTCTAGGGCCTGGGGGTACAGGGCACAGGCTCAGGCGGCCCCGCAGGCTGTCAGGAGAGACCCTGAGCTCTCCCTGGGACCCCTGTGCCCAGGCCATCTGCCCCCTCCCTCCTCCTTCTGGTGCCTCGCGTCATCTGGTCAGCGTGACCTTCTTGACCCTCTATGTAATGCCCCCAACTCGAGCACCCCAGCCCTCCTACCTCCTGCTCTGCTTTATTATTATTATTGGACTTAGACTGTATCATCATCCAACAGGCTTCACTATTTTTTAAAAACGTATTTATCTGTCCCTCTATCTAGAGTGTTGGGCGGGGAGGCCAGGGATTTTGTCGTTTTGCTCCCTCTCGTGCTAGAACCGGGTCAGGCACACAGTAGGCCCCCAGTAAACGTCTGCCGGAGAAGGACGGCCGCTCCCAGGCGGCCTGGTCAGCGCCTAGAGCCCGGGCCTGCGGGCTCCCCAGCCCATCCTGTCCTTCCGCCAAACAGTCATCTGGGGCCGCCCGGGCACGTCATTTCCTGGCTCTCGGCCTCAGTTTGCTCATCTGCAGTTGGGGGGTGAGAAGAACTCCCATACACGGGAGCCCCCCATCCCCACGCCCCGCCCCCCAGCCTTCAGGGTTTTTTTTTTTGAGAAAGATCAAAGATTGGCATTCTGATCCCCTCTCCTAACTGGTTCTGCGGAGGGGAAGAAGGGGTGGGCCTGGGGCCACCCTGGAGGCGGCGTCAGAGGCCGGGACGATGGAGTCCACCCCTTCTCCAGAATGAGGAAGGAGGGCCCAGCGGGCGCTGCGGGGACGGGGACAGACGCTGACTGTGGTCGGGGCCTTTCCTCGCCGGCAGCCCGCCCTCCCCGGGGGCACCCACCCTCAACCAGTTTGGCAGGGCCGGGCAGGTCTGCAGATGGGCGGGGAGCCCTGAGCCTCCACACCTTCTCGGGCTCCTCCTCTGCCCCCCACCCGCCTGAGCCGGGCACTCAGGCCTCGTAGAGCTGGGCCCCCGGTGCCCGAGGCCGGGACGTCAGGGGTCCCTGGGGTGACCCCCCAAGGAAAGCCCCCCCCGGCCAGCCCCCCGCGCCGGTGCCAGGAGCCCTCCCCAGGGCCGGCCGGGGTGCCCTCCCGGGGCCGGGGCCATGCCGCCTCGTGCCCGCTGAGGCCCCCACCATGGCCCGCTCGCTGACCCGGCGCTGCTGCCCCTGCTGCCTGACGGACGATGAGAAGGCGGCGGCCCGGATCGACCAGGAGATCAACAGGATCCTCCTGGAGCAGAAGAAGCGGGATCGCGGGGAGCTGAAGCTGTTGCTGCTGGGTGAGTGGGGTCGGCAGGGCGGCGGGGCACAGGGGCCCCGGGCCAGGACGGGGGTGGGGGGGGCTCACCCCTGGCGGGGCCGGGAGAGCTGGAGACCCGCTTCTGGGCGAGAAGACTAAGGCGCAGAGAGCCCCAGGTCTGGTCCCAAGGGGTGGCCCGCGGCCCGGGCCGGCCAGCCGCCTCGCGGGGCATGTGCCAGCGGAGGTGGCCCCGGGGGCGGCAGGCCCAGCCCGCCCTACCAGCTCCGGCTCCGGGATGCGGCTCCTGGGCCTCGCCGGGACTGCGGGTGTGGGGTGCCCTCCCGCCCTCTCCCCTGCCCGCCGCAAGGGCCCCACCGCGGGGAGGGCTCGACCCCCTTCGTCCCGGGGCGGGGCGTTGCCAGTGGGCTCGGGCCGACCGGCCAGTTGATTGACTGACTGACGGATCCATTCATCCATTCACACCCAAGATGTATTGGGTAACTCCTGGGGTCCAGCGGCCAAGGACACGGGCAGTGTCCGGGCCCCCTGGGACCACGTCGTGCCGCGATGCTCAGACGTTAGCCCATAAACCAAAGAGCAGATAAAATAATTTCCTGCAGCAAGAAAAGCGAGCAAGAGAAGAAAACAGGGCGGGAGGGAGGAGCGGCGGGGCCGGCAGACTGTGGGGCTCGAGGCCGTGGCCTCGGAAGCTGCAAGCCGCGTCCCGCACGTGTGTCCACCCCCCCGTCCCCCCCGTCCGCTGCCACCTCGCTCTGCGTGGGACGTGGGATGTCCTGAACCCCGGGCAGGGGTCACTGGGGAAGAGGTCGGGTGTCCCCGAGGCGCGTCTGCGGGCCCCGGGCCAGGAGGCCGGCCGTCTGTGCGGTGGCCTCGTTTTTCCTGGTTTGGGGGGGGGCTGAGGACCCGGTGGGAGGCGGGGGGAGCCCGGAACCCCAGGGTCGCATCTGAGCCCTTCTGACTCGAGCCTTTTATGTAATTCAGGTTTATGTGATTTAGTTTTCCAAGGAAGCCGGCCCGGGGGCCCAGGGGGGCCCAGGGGGGCCCAGACCCCGGCACGTGGCCTCTCACACCCCGGCTCCTGCTGCTTCTCCCACAGTCCTTCAGTGGCCACCTGGCTTCTCTGCTTTTCGGGGAATATTTTGTTTTCCTTAGACGGTGGTGAAGTCATCAATGAAGGCTGTCAGAGCCGGGAAGGTTTTAATTAAGAATTTAATGACTTTAATAGGTGTGTCTGATTTCTTCAGACTCGTTAGGCTATTAGGTTAATAATACGTATGATATACGATGTTTTATTGGCTGCTTTTTAATAATACTGTTAATGAGGGCTAGTTGGGCTTTTTTTTTTTTTAAGATTTCTATTTATTTATTCATGAGAGACACACAGAGAGAGGCAGAGACACAGGCAGAGGGAGAAGCAGGCTCCTTGCGGGGATCCCGGGCCCCGGGGTCACGCCCTGAGCCGGAGGCAGATGGTCACCGCTGAGCCACCCGGGCGTCCCGGGTTATTTCTTCTTGAATGAGTTTTGGCTGTTGGTGCCTTTCAAAGAACGCGCCCATTTTTCGAAGCTGTCAGAGGGCTGGGCATGCAGTTGTATACCACAGCCCCCGTGCCGTCATCTTTTTCAGGCCTTGAGCATTTGGAGTGGTGTCCCCCCCCTGCACCCCTCATTCCATTCCGTCTGCTAGCTTTTTCCCATCCATCAGGCTCAGGGGTTATCAATGTTGGTGATCTTCCCTTGCACACCTCAAGTTCATATGTGCAAACCACAGGGCCTTTGCACTTGCTATTCTCCTGCCGGGAGCTGTCAGCGTCCCTCGAGACAGCATAGGCTCGTGTGTCGCCCCCTGGGAGGAGTCTTCCCGGCCTCGCTGGCTACGAGGGCAGCCCGTCCTTCCCGTTCCTCCACTTGATGCCCTTGATCTTTCTTCAGCGCACTCACTCACCGACACGCTCTCAGACTTGTTTATTCGTTCTTCATTTTCTGTGTCTCCGGCTGCACAGCAAATAGCACAAAGGTGGGGACCGTGTCTTTCTCCCCAGTTGCTGGGTCCAGGGCATTGGCCCGGGAGTGCGGGGGTGTGACACAGAGCAGAGGCCTAGAGCAAACTTTATACACCAACAAGGCAATGGATGAGCATCCTGTTTCGGGGGTGCCCTCCCCTGGTGCCGCACCGCATCCCCTGGCCCACCCACTCGGTCCCCTGTACCCCGGCCAGGCCCCCATCGGGAGCCCCCTTCTCCTGCCGTGGGGGGGGCTGGTTGTCCACGGCCCCAAGCACTGACCGACCCCGTGGACGGCGCCGTGGACTGTGGTCTTGACCGCCTCCCCCAGCCCCCCAGCCCTGAGGGCGGCCTCCACACCACTCTCCCCTCTCGAAAACAGGAATTGAATCCAAAAGTTATTTTTTCCTGGAGGTGGCTGATCTTTTTGAGGAAGCAGGGTCGGGCCTGCATCTGTCCCCAACAGGAAGCCCTTGGTGTGTTGGGGAGCAAGGAGCATCTGAGGGAAGCCGTTAAAGGAGCCAGCTCTGTCCACCAGCGCCTGTCCCTGGACGGGGACACCGCAGCCCAGTGAGGCGAGGCCATCGGCCCAGGGTCGCACGGTTAGGATCAGAACCCGGGATTCTGGCTCAAGAGTCCGTGTATTTGACCTCCGTGTGCGTGTGCCCCCGGAGAGGAAAGCCCCGGCTCCCCAAGGACAAATGGGGAAACTGAGATCCAGGGAGGGGATGGACCATGGGATTGGTCTGGGGTCGCCAGCCTGAGCTGCCTGTCCCCCCAGCCCCCCGGGCCAGCTCCCTGTGCCCCCTGAGGCTAAGTTCTTGGAATGTCCGAGGTGCCTGGGCTGCATCCTCCAGGGAAGGAGCCGCATGGGTGTCTCGTGATGCTCGGGGTTGGCACGGCCCCTCCTGGCATCTGTGAGGTTCCAGTTCCTCATCCATCCCCAGAAGGAAGCAGTCACTTCCCTTCTGGCCCTGGCCGGTGGGAAGAGCTCTCCCCGCAGCCCCCAGCCCCGGGGGGGGGGGTCACGTTCCCGCAGGGGACCCGGAGCCTGGGGCTGGAGACGGTCCACAGCCCTTGGTGGCCTCAGGACGGTCATGGGCTGCTGGCGGGGGGGTGGGGGGTTCCACCCTCAGACATCAGGTTGTGACCCATGCGCGAGGCACACAATCCATATTGTGGGGGTGACCCAGACTTATTTTTATTTTATTTATTTGAGAGAGAGAGAGAGAGAGAGAGAACACAAGTTGGGGGGAAGAGGGAGAAGCAGACTCCATCCTGAGCAGGGTGCCTGACGCGGGGCTCGATCCCAGGACCCCGGGATCATGACTTGATGCTCAACCCACTGAGTGACCCAGGCGCCCCGGGACCGGGATTTTTTTTTCCCTTTCTTGAAACAGAAGAGAAGAAAATTGAGGGAACTGTTGCCCTGTGAGGCCTCTGACTGCCCTCCACACTCCCGGGGGAGCCCCGAGGCCCGGAGGTCAGAGGGCGCAGTCCCCGGGGCTGGCCTGAGTGCACCCCCGCCCCCGGCGGACCCCCGCCAGCTGCCCGGCTTCCAAGTGTCCGCAGACGGACGTTGTCTGATGCCCTGGAGACGCCCCACCGGCGGGGCGGGGGGGCTCCTGCTTCCCCGCTAGCTGTGTGCCCCTGGGAAAACCGCCTCACCTCTCTGGTCCTCGGGGTCTCCTGGTGAACCAGAGGGCATGTCTGTGCGGACTGACCGAGGACAGGCACGGAGTATCGTGGCCCCGGGCCCGGCGGACGCCAAGAGTTAAGCCATGCTCCCTGGGATTACTGTTATGGGGAACTTTCTGGTGTCGTCCTTAACACCCACGAGCTCTGGCCTCAGGCGGAACGAGGTCTGAGTCCCAGCTCGGCCGCTTGCCAGCTGCACGGCCCACGGCGATCCCATCAGCCAGTCTGGGACTCAGTTTCCCCACAAGAAGAGTGAGCCAGGAGCCGTCGGTCCGTCAGGTGAGGCTCTGGAAGATGGTGCGTGTTGGGCTCGGGGAGCCGGGGGCCGGAGAGCTGTGCCTTGATGCCTGATGTTCGCATGTTCGCGGCGGGGACATTCGCTGGGCCGGAGGCGTCCCTCCCGGAACCCGAGACATTCCGCAATGTGGGGCACACGCGGCTTCACGTTGCGGAGTTTCAGGCCGTGGACCGTGGCGTGGGCGTCCAGGGGCCACTTCTTATGTTGGAACGATTCTAGAAGGACAGGAAAGTGGCAAAGGTGGTAGAGGGAGCCTCTGCTCCTGAACGGCCTCCCCTCGCGTTCGCATCTCGGGTACCGCACACGTTTGTCACCTCTGAGAGATGCACGCGGACGCCGCTCGGGCCCGGGTGGGGCTGGTTTACGCCGCGGCCCTTTTTCTGCTCCGGATCCCACTCGGCGTCTCACGCGCACCTGACGCCGGGAGGTTTCTCCCCCTTCTCCACTCTTCCTCCGCCCCCCGCCCCGCCAGACGAGCAGGTGTCTATGTTCACAATTGACACAGTGACGCGGTGCGTAACGACAGCTACGACTTGCGTGCTCTGTAGTCCTATAGTTAACGCACACATTCTCGTCGTTTCCCTGAACGGTTTGCAAGTATGTTGCAGACCTGACACCTTTTGCCCCTAAATACTTGGTGGGTTTGAGCCCACCCCGAAGCGGGGCGCCCCAGGACGGGGCCAAGAGCAGGTGAGGAGTTCCTGGCCCGCACCCCTGACCCGCAGCCCGAACGCTCGCCCCGTTTCCCCGCTAATGTCCCTCGGGGCTAGAGCTTGAGGTCTAGCGTACTTAACGAAGACCCGGTGTCACCCCGGCCTGCCCTTGTTGCCCTCAGATGTGTAGGGACAGGGAGCCCGGGGTGGGGGGTGACGCAAGACGGCACCTGCTCGTCTCCCCGCTGCCCACACTCCCCATGCTCTACCTCCCTCTGCCCCCTCTGCCCCATTTCCTCTTTCTGTGCTCCAGTCAGGCCACCCCTTCCTTTGCTGCTGCTTCCCTGTTCCTCCTCCCAGCCCGTCAGCCTGTCCCTGGAAGGACCCCATGCCAGGGCCCCCAGGAGGAGCCGGGCAGCACGGGCGGGGAGGTGCTGGAGGAGCCAGGAGGGAAGACGGAGGCACCAGAGAGGGAGGCTGCGGGGCTCAGCCTCGGCTCTGGGCTTCCAGCCCCGAGGCCGGAACACCCAGTGTCGAACATCCAGGTGTGACTGCGGCAAGTCCAGGGCTGGCTTCCGGGGCAGGGAGGGAGGACCTGGGCAGGCCCGCGGCGCCCCGGGCTCAGGAGGGCCTCGTCTTGCACTTGGCCCCGTAAATCATGTCCACTGGTCCCCACTTGTTGAGTCGCCTCCCAGATTCTCTTGAATGGCCCCTTCTCTCCACCTGGGTCCAACCCCCACTGAGCTAGACCTCCACCCCGGCCCCCGTGCTCCGGCCCACGCGCACCACAGTCTGTCTTCACTACAGCAGCCACCCGAGGACACCTGTGAGGATGCGCGGCAGGTGTTCCACTCCCCCCTCCCACTTTCCAGGGCTCCCTCCTCTCGGGAGTAAAAGTCCAAGTCCTCTCTGCACTCCCCGAGGCCCTACGCACCTGCCCCGTCCCCTCCCTGTCCTCCCTCTCTCTCCCTCACCCACTCTCCTCCAGCCATACAGGCCTCCTCGCTGCTCCTCCAACACGCCAGGCCTGCTTCTGCCCCAGGACCCTTGCACGGGCTGTGCCCTCTGCATGATGTGCCCTTCCTCCAACCTTCCCAGCCTTTGGATCTCAACTCCACAAGTCACCTCCACGGAGAAGCCGCCCCTGACATTCAGCTAAACACTATTTATCCTATCGTCTCTCCTTTGTAAAAGTTTCTCTACTTGAAAGTATAAGAGCAAATAATAATAACAGCAGTTCTAACTACAGTCAATGCTACCACTCCTGACGATAGCGCGAGCGCTGCAGGCATGCTGTGACTCTTCCTGTACAAGCAGATAGTAAATATTTTCAGCCCTGGGGCCCAGATGGTCTCTGTCTGGCTGCTCGACTCTGCTGTGGTGGTGAGGAAACAGTCGTAGACAATTCGTACACATGTGGAGGTGACTGTGTGCCAATAAAACTTTATTTATAGACACCGAAACATGAATTTTGTATCATTTCAACATGTGACAAAATAGTTTTTTTTAATTCCTTTCAATCGTTTAAAAATGTGAAAACCACAACCATAAAAAGTGTTAGAGACACGGGGCGACTGGGTGGCTCAGTGGTTGAGCATCTGCTTTCGGCTCAGGGTGTGACCCCGGGGTCCCGGGATCGAGTCCCACATCGGGTTCCCCACAGGGGAACTGCTTCACCCTCTGCCTGTGCCTGTGTCTCTGCCTCTCTCTGTGTCTCTCATGAGTAAATAAATAAAATGTAAAAAGCCACCAGTCTTAGAGACGTAAAAGCCATCCTACAAACTGTAAACTTGCTGGCCGTGCAGGGACAGGTGGCCAGCTGGAAGGCCCCTCGGGCCATGGTTTGCTGACCCCTCCTGGGAGCACCTGACAGTGAACTCCTTTACCATCAGGTGGAGCCAGCGGGCAGAGTCTGTTGTGAACCACATCTTACAGCTGGGGAAACTGAGGCCCAGAAGGTGAAGGCACTCGCCCAGGGTTGCAGAGTGCGGCCTTGGCCGAGCCAGGGTTTGAGCCCTGGGGGGCGGGGGTGGGGACCCCGGGGCTGAGCTGGTGGTGTGCCTCCCCAGGGCCTGGCGAGAGCGGCAAGAGCACGTTCATCAAGCAGATGCGGATCATCCACGGGGCGGGCTACTCGGAGGAGGACCGCAAGGGCTTCCGGCCCCTCGTCTACCAGAACATCTTCGTCTCCATGCGGGCCATGATCGAGGCCATGGAGCGGCTGCAGATCCCCTTCAGCAGGCCTGAGAGCAGCGTGAGCATCCTGGGGCCTCCCCTCCTGGGCTCCAAGCTGGGTGGGGTCTTGGGCTTCAGGGTGGGACGTGTCCCTTCGGACCCCAAACCCCGGCTGTGTCCACTAGGGCCCCCAGGGGCAGGATGTGCGTCCTCCCCCATAGTCCAGCACTTGTCCCCTCAGATCCTCCCAGGTCAGGACCGTGTCCCCTCAGACCCTGCAGGCAGCACCTGGGGCTGGGCCGTATTTGGGGTCCCCAGGGCTTGTTTGTACAGCCCAGGAGTTTCCTGGGGGTGTTCTGTGCGTCCAGGCAGCTTGGCGTCCCCCATGTATCCCTGTGGACCTGTGGCTCCGTCACCTCTCCCTGGGCCCCAGCTCCCGGGGGGAGTCTTGAGCCACCCCGTTTGGCTGTGGAAACGTCCACACTGCCGACTCTGACACAGTCCTGCCCTGGGGTGGGGGTGCAGCCATGCGGCAGCCGGCACATCACCTTCCAGGGAAGTTGACTCGGGAACGCTCTGTGCCATCTGCCCCCGTAACCGTCTCGGTGGACGGTGCGCGGTGGCCGGCCCGGTGGCCTGTGCAACGCGCTCATCCTGCGTAACTACGACGTCGTGCCCCGCCGGTGGCCCCCGAGTCCCCTCCGCCAGCCCCACTCTGCTCCTCGGCCGTGGGTTTGCCTTTTCTCGATGTCATGCGGAGCGGGACCGTCCTTGCCTCGCTTATTTCTGTTACCACGACGTCCGCGGGGCCACACGCGCCGTTACCGAGCAGAATCCCGTCCTCTTCCACGGCTTGTGCTCGCGCCATCCGTCTGGCGACGCTCAGGGCCGCGGGCCACCAGGACCTCTCCAAGATCCTCATCTCCGCCTGCGGGTCAGACCCCCAGAAGCACTCGCTGGACCCCAGGGCAGACGGGTTTCAGGGTTTTCGAGGAAGCTCCGGGCTGTTTCCCACGGCCGCCGGGGCGCAAGCGTTCCAGTTTGTCCACACCGCTCGTCTTTTCTTTGGGTTTTATAATAGCCGTTGTGACAGGCGTCAGCTGACATCACCTTTCTCAGATCAGGAGGCTTCTGAGTTTGAATCTGGGCCAGTCCCGAGCTTCAGGAGATCCTCACGGGGCTCGTGGTGAGAACTCGATAAATTAAAGGAGCCGAAAGCTCTCAGCACGGGGCCTGAAGGGGGTAGGGGGCGGTGAGCATCAGTGGATGGGATGACTTTAACCCCCAGGAAACCCCTCCGGCTGGGGGCCGTCATCCCCACCTCCCAGACGAGAAGCAAGAGGAGAGGGGACACTTAGCTTGATATTCACAGTCCCCATGTGGAAGACTCAAGATAAGCACCTGCTGGCCCTGTCACCACCTTCCGTTACACCGCCTTTCCTTACAAAGTAACGTAGTTGTTTGTTTTTTTTTTTTTTTATTGGGACATAACACGCGAGCCAAAGAAGCCAGGTGGCGGGCTCAGTGAATCATCACAGAGCAAACACGTGGGTAACCACTGCCTGGAGACAAGAAGCAGAACATGAGGCCCCTTCCCGAAATCACTACCACCCTCCGGCCCAGGCCTAACCACTAGCCCATCTCCCATCAGCACGTTGCCTAGTTTTTGAACTTCCCCTACGTGGAATGACACGGAATTTTGTGCCACGTGTGGCCTGTGGCACTGCACGGTTGATCTGTGGCCCTTCCGTGTTTGGAGGCACAGTGGCGGTTGGTTCATCTCCGCCATGAGCCATTTGTGAAAGCCTTTGCATTTCCATTGGGTGTCCGCGTAGAGGTGGATGCGGATCATAAAGTGGATTAGATTAGGGGGAGACACCGAACTGTCTCTGAGCAGTTGTACCAGTCCACGCTCCCGCCAGCAGCGCACACGCATGCGCAAAGACTTCCACCTGCCGCACGTCCTCACCTGCACGTGGTGCCGTCACCTTGGTGTAGCCATTCTGGAGGGTTCTTGGTAGTGTTTTTACTGTGGTTGTGATTTGCACCGCCCTGATTAATGGGGAGGTTGCACACCTTTCCATATGTTTGTTGGGAACTCGGATGTTCCATTTGGCGAGGCGACTGTTCACATCTTCTGCCCATTTTTGCTTTTGGTTTTGGCCTTTGCCCATCAAAAAAGAAGTACTTTCCTTTTTGTTTCTTCTTCTTCTTACAGATCTGTGGCATAATAAATTTTATTTATTTATTCATTCATGAGAGACACAGAGAGAGAGGGGCAGAGACACAGGCAGAGGGAGAAGCAGGCTCCATGCAGGGAGCCTGACATGGGACTCGGTCCCAGGTCTCCAGGATCATGCCCTGGGCTAAAGGAAGCACTAAACCGCTGAGCCACCGGGGCTGCCCAAGAGATGGTTTTCCACCCCAAGGTCATGATGAAACTCTCTGCTGCCATCTTTTATTTATTTATTTATTAAGATTTTATTTATCTATTCCTGAGAGACACAGAGAGAGGCAGAGACACAGGCAGAGGGAGAAGCAGGCCCCACGCAGGGATCCCGATGTGGGACTCGATCCCAGGACCCCGGGGTCACACCCTGAGCCAAAGGCAGACGTTCAACCACTGAGCCACCCAGGTGCCCGCATCGCTGTCTTTTATTCTTTCGTATTTAGACTTACATTCCACCCGGAATTGATTTTTGTGTACGGTGTGAGGCAGGGATTATGTTTCTCTTTCCTTCCCCACCCGCATCTTGCGGGCAGATATTCAGTTGTGCCAGCGCCACTTACGCTTTTCTCACGGTATCAAGGTCTCATCTTGGTGATATCAGGTGTTCAAATGTGCCTGGATCCGCTTAATCCTCCCTGTTCTGTTCCATTGACTAATTTATCCGCCTTTGAGTGAATATTGCTTCATGGTGATGAGTGTAGCTTCCTGGTATCTAGGCTTCGAGCTTGCCAGTGGAAATCCTGCCACTTTATTCTTCTCCAGAATTGTCTTAGCTACTCTGGGCCCTTGTGCATTTCTACATAAAGTTTAGAATTATCTTGTCAGTGTTTACACACACACACACACACACACACACACACACCCTTTCACACCTTTCTGGGGTTTTGGTAGAATTGCGTGGAATCTGTGGATTGCTTTGGGCAGAATGGGCAGCGGAAAAAGATGCTCTTTCAATCCATGAACATGGCATAGCCCTCCAATTATTTAGATCCTTAAAATCTTTCCTTAGTGATGTTTTCTACATTTCAGTGTAGAGAGCTTTCACGTCTGTTGCTGGATTTATCCCTAGGTATTTGATATCTTTTGGTGCTACCATAAATGGGATTTAAATTTTATTTTATTTTTTTTAAAGATTTTATTTATTTATTCATGATAGTCACACAGAGAGAGACAGAGTGGCAGAGACACAGGCAGAGGGAGAAACAGGCTCCATGCACCGGGAGCCCGACGTGGGACTCGATCCCGGGTCTCCAGGATCGCGCCCTGGGCCAAAGGCAGGCGCCAAACTGCTGCACCACCCAGGGATCCCTGGGATTTAAATTTTAAAAAATTTGCATGGTCAGTGGTGAATATATGGCCACCCGTTTGATTTGTGTTAATTGATCTTGCATGCGGGGACCTTGCTAAGTTATATGTTCTTCTGATAGCTCATCTCTAGACGGTTTTGGATCTTCTACACGTAGTCGTGTTGCCTGTGAATAACAGTGTAACGTATTCGTTTCCAAACCTGACACCTTTCGTTCCCTCTCCCTGTTGTATGGCACTGGGGAGGACCTCAATGCAGCATGAATTAGAGCTCTGGGACATCTTTGTCATACTCCCAGCCTCGGAGGGACACACAAGTCCACATAAGCACACATGCATGTGCCCAGATGCGCGCACCACATACACGCACAGATTCACAGGTGTATGCAAGCCCACCTGCACACATACCCGCATGCATGCACACAGCGGTGCACACACGTGCCTGTGCACAGGCCAACCCAGGAGTCTGAGCAGCAGTGAGGTGTTCCTGCTGGAAAGAAAGGAGGACAGAGGAGCAGAGGTTTCTGCGAGGAAGAGGACACATGAGGGGCCACTCGGTGGGCGGCTGAGGCTGCACGTGCCTCTACTTCCCCGAGAGACCCGGCCACCTGGGTCATGGCACTAAGTCTCTAATGGGGACACCTGCGGCGACTTGCCCCATACGCATCAAAGAACCAGAACTGTCATCCCTGCACATGTGTCCTCTGCTGCCCTTCTGCCCTCCATCTGCAGACAATCACGTCGGTGAAGGAAGGAGTGGAGCGGAGGGCGGGAGCGGGAAGGGCAGCGGGCAGTGGACGCGGAGACAGGTGGTGGCTCGCAGGGCTGTGCGCAGGGTGCCGGCCCCACAGGCCGCCCTGACTCGCCCGTCCGTCCCTCCCCAGCACCATGCCAGTCTGGTCATGAGCCAGGACCCCTACAAGGTGACCACTTTTGAGAAGCGCTATGCCGTGGCCATGCAGTGGCTGTGGAGGGATGCCGGCATCCGGGCCTGCTACGAGCGCCGCCGGGAGTTCCACCTGCTTGACTCGGCCGTGTAGTGAGTCTGGGGTCTGCGGGCAGCGGGTGCAGGGTGTGGGGCACAGCGGAGACGCCCCCAGGGATGAACTCCCAGGAGGATGGTGCCCAAGCTGGTTGGCTGCTATGGTGGGACACGCTGTGGGGTGGGCTGGCTGTAGATGGTCTTGCTCCAGGGTGATGATGTCATTCCTGCGGGGATGCAGCTCTTGGGGTGACGCTGTTCCAACAGTGACATCATTCCGGGGGTGACACTGGTCATCATCACACAGTGACGCCGTCCTGAGTACGATGCTGCGCATCTAGGCTGATTTGGCAGTTGGGAGCCTACTCCCAGGCCATCACTTTTCTTGGGACAGCACCACCCCTGGGGTGACAGCTCCCTGAAGGTGACACCCCTCCCCAGCGACACTGTCCTTGAGGTCATACTGCTCCGAGGGGGAAACCGCTTCTCCTCGATGCTCCCACAGCCTCAGGGTGATATTTCCGGGCCACCTGCAGACCCACAGATCCTGGGCCCTCCCCAGGAGCTCCCCTCCCTGAGCAGGCACCTCATTGGGCTTGGGGGGGGGTCTGAGAAACAAACTAAGGCTGCAAGACCGGGCCTCAGGGCTCCTCACTCCACAGCTACCTGTCCCACCTGGAGCGTATCACCGAGGAGGGCTACGTACCCACAGCACAGGACGTGCTCCGGAGCCGCATGCCTACCACTGGCATCAATGAGTACTGCTTCTCTGTGCAGAAGACCAACCTGCGGTGAGCTCACAGCCTGGGGGGTGGGGGGGGAAGCTTCCTATAGGAGGGGCAAAGGCCCTGAGGCCCTGAAGGGTGAGTAGGAGTTTCCTAGTCACAGTCCTCAAGGGGCTTCCAGGCCACAGGGGGCAGAGCTGGATCTAGGCACCTTCAGCCCCCTCGAAGGGGGGCAACCAGAGCTCCAGGGGTGCAGGTCTATGGAGAGGACATCGATATTAGGGCATTGAAGGATGAGTAGGCGTTCACTAGGAGGACTCTTGAAGGGCTGCTGGGCAGGAGGAGACAGAGACTGTGTGGTCAGTGATAGTCCAGAGGGATGGGCTCAGGGCTGGGGAAGCTCAGAGGGTGACCCCCTTGAGGGCGTGAGGCTGGGGGTCAGGAGACTCAAGAGGAGGCAGGAGCCACGATTCAGGCAGGAAGGGTTGGTAGGGGCCATGGCAGTGGTCATGGGGATGGTGCAAAAATCGTTTTGGTGTAGAATGGGCAAGACTAGATGCGTGTAAGGATCTGAGAATCAAGGGAATGGGGTACACGTTGGGCCACAGTGGCGGCGGCAGCGTGGAGGTATCTGATTAGACAATGAAGTCGTTTGGGACACTGCAGTCTTTGGGGTCCAGGGCATCTCAGAGGTAGCTGGACACACAGAGGCCTGAGCTGGAAGGCAGAGGTGTGAGTGGCCAGCGCAGTGAGGGGTCGTCCAGGCAGAATGAGGGCCAGTGTCAAAGGCTAAGGCGAGGTCAGGAAGAGTTCACTGAGAGCAGTGACTTCTGGGGTTGGTGATCAGAGGCTCATCGGTGACCTCTGCAAGCTCTGTGTCTGTGAGCTGATGGCAGGGAGCTGTGGAGGGTGCAGGGTGCAACACGGGTGTGTTCACTTCACCCTACTGTGTCCCATGCTTCCCTGGATTGACCCCCCAAACATGCTCCTCTGGCCTTTTCCTGATGAGAATGGTTCATAATTTTCTGTTTGGCATCAGTCTCCCCTGATGGAGAGCCCCCCAAGGCTAGGGGATGAGTTTGATTCTCCTGCTTTCCTAGTGATGATCAGCTCAAGATCAGAGGGGAAGTTGGTGAATGTGAGAGGATGACTGGGAAGATGGAAGGATGAACAAATGGATGGAGAGATGGGTGTATGTACGGAGGGTGTGTGGACGGATGGGTGAATGGATGGATGCATGGGGGGTAGGTGGGTGGGTAGATGGATGGACAGATAGATGGGTGGATGGGTGAGTAGATGGGCAGGTGGATGGATGGATGGGTGGGTGGACGGATGGATACATGTGTGATGAATGGATTAGTGGGTGGGCGGGTGGATGGATAAGTGGGTGGATGAACTGATCAAAGTTTAGGAATGAAGGTAGAGGTTGGAGAAGCTCACAGGAAAGGCTGGGCTAAGGCACTGATTTTCAGGTGGGAGCCTTGAGTGTGTTCTTAGGCCTAATCCAGGGAGCGAGGGCTCAGAGGAAGCTGGGACTAGGAGAGTGGAGGCTGGCAAGGAGCCTCCCCACATCTGTCTCAGTCTCCAGAGCCTCACTGTCAGCTACTGCCCGGCCCGTTCTGCTCTGGGGTTTCAGGGAGTCTGCACCAGCGGGGTGGGGCTCAGGGATCGGGAGCCACAGGGCACCAGCCTTGGTTTCCCATCCATACAAAGGGGCAAGTCTCTTCTTGCTCTGGGGCTCCTGGCATTTCCTGTCGGCTGCCTGGGTAACAGTCCCATCCCCGGGGAGATGATGCAAGCCTTGTTATCAGTGACCCACATTTCTTAGAGAGAACAGGAAGACGTGAGGGCTCCGGCTTTTGTTGCGGTGTGTGGAGGTGGAGGCTGGGCCCTCGCCCTGGGCCACACGCAGAGGGGATGGTGTCCGCTGGTCAGAACAATGCGCATGTCACGGGTGGGGAAACTGAGTTCTGGACATGTTCTGCAGTTTGCCCCAGGTCACCGGGCCAGAACCAGGGCAGACCCCGGGTGTGTCTGACCTGCTGTCCTCCGCGGGGTGCAAATCAGGCAGCCCAGTCCAGAGGCTCACCAAGGTCTCCCCTCCCGTGCCTCAGTTTCTTCATGGGCCGAACAGTAACGCCTGCCTCAAGGGGTGAAATGTGGTAACACAGCAGAGGCATTGGCCCAGAGGCTGGCAATGATTATATATTGATCTCGACATGCCCCAGGGTGCCCGGGGTCTGGGGTGCCACGGCAGGGGGCCCTGGCTAGGTCTGACGGGGTGATTCCCGAATCGGCAGGATCGTGGACGTCGGGGGCCAGAAGTCAGAACGCAAGAAGTGGATCCACTGCTTCGAGAACGTGATTGCCCTCATCTACCTGGCCTCGCTGAGCGAATACGACCAGTGTCTGGAGGAGAATAACCAGGAGGTGAGGGCCACCGCGGGGACAGGGGCGCCGCCTCCTCCTGGCCCGGGCCGCGGCTGAGCAGGGAACCCACTGCCACTGTTGAGCGGGCCTGTGTGTGTCTGGCGTGGCTTTCAGCTCCGCTCTGCACCCTTCCGTGGCCAGAGCACAGAGTCCCCAGACCCAGATCCACAAGCAGTGTGTGGCCAGGACCCTGGACTCTCTCTCTAAGGGACACTCAAGCCCCCGAGACAGGGCCCCCAGGAAGCACAGTGCAGTTGGCCCGGGAAAATGGGTCATGCCCCGGGGATAGTGGCCTGCTTTTATTCGGAAAGGCCGCGCATCGCTCTTTTGTGAACTCTTCTCCCGATTAAGACCCGGATCACTTCAGACCTTTGCGCTTTTAGGGTGTGAAGCTTTACACGCACAGTCTGAGGGTCCAGGGGTCAGATGCTATAATTTTGACTTTCAGACCAAATGAAACAATGAGTTTGAGGTCATGCCGCCACAGATGTTGCTCGAATGCAGCCGCATGCGATGTCCTAGTTTGCTGGGGGCTGTCGTGATAAAGGACGACAGCCTGGGGGCAGGAGCCACAGAGACGCCCCCTCTCCCAGCCCTGGAGGCCACACGCCGGGAGCAGCCAGGCTCCTTCCTCCCCAGTTCGTGAGGGAGACTCTGTCCCTAGCTCCCCTTGCTTCGGGGTCCCTTGGCCTGTACACTCGTCGCTCCATCTCTGCCTCTGTGGTCACCTGGCCTTACCCCCGTGTATCTGTGTCCAAATGTCCCCTCTTTTTTTTTTTTTAAAGATTTTATTTATTCATGAGAGACACACACAGAGAGAGAGGCAGAGACACAGGCAGAGGGAGAAGCAGGCTCCATGCAGGGAGCCCGAGGTGGGACTCGATCCCGGGTCTCCAGGATCAGACCCTGGGGCGAAGGCGGCGCTACACCGCTGGGCCACCCAGAGATTCCCACCAAATGTCTCCTCTTTAGAAGGGACCCCTGGCAGTGGAGGTGGCAATCTATCTAGCATGACCTCTTCTTACCTCTTTACATCTTCAAAGACCCTATCTTCAGATAAGGTCCCATTCTGAAGTTCCAGAGGGACATGAATTTGTGGGGGACACTAGTCAAACCAGTACAGGCTGCGCCAAAGCACTGGCGCACCCTCTCTGACCTGGCCGGGAATCGGGGGCCCCGAGCCCCTGGACGTTAGGCTGACAGCCCAATGTGGAGACGTGGGGGAGGGCTCCTGTCTGGGCCAAGCTGGCTGTTGGATCAATGACCTGCCCGTTCCCCTCGACCCAGAACCGAATGAAGGAGAGCCTGGCCCTATTTGGCACCATCCTGGAACTGCCCTGGTTCAAAAGCACGTCTGTCATCCTCTTCCTCAACAAAACTGACATCCTGGAGGAGAAGATCCCCACTTCCCACCTGGCTACCTACTTCCCCAGTTTCCAGGGTGAGTGGTTCTAGAACTTTCTGTAGCCTTCACTTCCCAAAAGCAGCTCCCAAGAGAGATGCTGGCCTGGACCCTAGCCCAGCCAGAGCCAGTGGAGTTTCAGATGGGATGGGACAGACCCGAGTTCCAGACCCAAGCTGCGAGTCTCCATGTCCCCCTCTGCAGCGTGGGGGGAAGGTGACAGGCACCATCATTCCTGATGCCGTGGCTGTGAGCAGGGGGCCCTGGAGAGGCAGGTGTAGATCTCTTGCGCGTGGGTCCGCTGTAGGGTTCATTGTCATCAGCCACACCTGGAAGGTGTCAACAGCTATTTCCAGAATCTTCCTAGATTTTTGAGACTTCTTTTTCGACTCTTTCGCAGTCACCTTATCTATATCTAAGATAGCAGATTAGAAAGGAAACCAGTGCCTGACCTTTGGACAAGTCCTTCCAAGGCACGCAGCTCTGTTTTCCTAGACACGGTGACCTCCTTTCATGCAGTGGGTTGTAGCAATAGGTTTGCGTCGAGTCTGGGCAGGTGCACGTGGAGCAGGAGCAGGTTTGGGAGCGAGGCCTCAGCGCAGGCAGCCCGAGGGGCACAGGGCCTGGCCGTCTGGACAGCAGGACTGGAGAGGGGAGGTGGGGGTCTGGTGGGTCCCAGGAAGGGGTGTACTGGCTCGCACTTCCCTGGAAGGCCACTGGGAGGGGCTGGTGGACGTATCCCAGCTGAGCGACACACTGCTCCTGACACTTGGGGCTTGAGGCCTCCATTCGACTTTGCTCACGTTTTTGTGGGGCAGGAACTTGGGAAGGGTGGAGGCGGGTAAGTTCATGTTCCATGTGTGTGGCATCAGCTGAGGTGGCCGGTGGAGATGCACCTCCAAGGTGGCTTCTTCCACTGTGGGTCTGATCCCTCTGCACCTCTCTCTCCCGCCTCCCCCTCCTCCCTCTCTCCTGCTTCTCACTCCCTCCTACTCTACCCCTGCACCCCTCCCTGGCCCCATCTGGTGTCTCCTAATCCACAGCCCCTTCACGAGGCTTGGGCTTCCTCACCTCATGGCTGTTTTGGGGTAGCCAGACTTCACCCCTGGGATGGGGGGAGCCTCAGAAGTCGTGGGTGGTTACAGACGCCTCACTCTACTGGTCAGGCAGGTTGCTCAGGGCAGCTCAGTCAGGAGGAGGCAAGCAGACTCCCCTCTTCATGGCCAAATGCCCCCCACCTACAGCGAGGGGGTGATGGCAGCCGTCCTGGAGACAGCTGGCTTTATTTCCTGGGGGCAGAAAACAAGCAAAGGGTGTCCCCCTCAATTAAGGAGGCCAGAAATCCGAAATCAAGATGTCGGCAGGATTGGTCCTTCCGGAGGCTCTGACTCCTAGCATCTCCCCTAGCCTCTGGTTGGGGCCCCTTGGCTTATAGATACATCTCTCCGACCTGCCTCAGTTGTCACATGGCCTTCTGTGTGTGTTTGTGTCTTTCCTCTTCTTATAAGGACTCCAGTTGTTGGCTACTGGGCCCACCCGAATCCAGTATGACCCCAATTCAAGCCAACTAATTACATCTGCAAAGACCCTATTTCCAAATAAGGTCATACTCTGAGGTTCTGGGTGGACATAAATTTGGGGGGAGTTATTCACTCCCATACACAACAACCACGGTAGCTTGGTGACATAACCATGAGTGTGACCCTTGGCCCTGTCAGGTCTCAGAGCCCATGTGAACCCATCCCAGCCAATCAGATCCAGAAGACTTGGGGGCCTGGGAGACAGATGTGAACTTGTTCCATCATGGGGGACAGCCCTGACTCCCTCCCCAGCTGAGCAGCCTTGGGAATGGGGGCGTGGCCTGGAGATTTGGGGATGGGGATAAAGTTTTGAGGGACTGTTTTCCTTCACATCAAAGGGAACCTTCGTGACTCATCTTTTTCTCCCAGCCACAGGCTGGAGCACTCTGCCAACTTCCGGCTCTTGGTCCTTTCCTCTTCTATACTAAATAATATCTGTGATTATAACGACAGCTCACGCATCTAACACCGTTGGAGGCACCCTAGTGTATGGACTAGTCTAATCCTCACTAAAAAGTCCTGTGGAGTAAAATTCTTTCTTCTCACCACTATAGATGGGGAAACCGAGGCACGGGGAAGTGCAATCACTTGCCAAAGGCCACACTGCCAGTGAGTGGCAGAGGCAGGCTTTGAACCCAGGCTGCCTGGATCAGGAGCCACCACCAGCCTTCCCCACTGAGTATCCTGCCTTTCTGGAAGAATGATAATAACATTCTGATTATTGAGCCCAGAGCCCCCTACATGATTGCACCGAGTCCTCACAACTCTGGGAGGCTTGGGCTGTCAGGATCCCCTTTTTGCAAATGGGCAAACTGAGGCTCACGGCAGTTACATGGACATCATAAGGCAACCCGGCGAGTAGCAGCAGAGTCGGGTCTTGGGCTCCAGAGACAGAGAGAGGGACGGAGATACCGACACAGAAATAGAGACTGAGCGTGTCCACTGCCTCACCAGGGTGGCCATCCCTCCCCTTCCCTTGGCCTCAGTTTACCCATCTGCACCTCTCAGCGAGATCTTTCTCCGCAGCACCAAGTTCCCATCCCGTCAGTTGGAAGCCCAGCCAAGAGAGTTTCTTTCTTTGACGTAGTTCTGCCCAAAGTCTCAGAGCCAAGTCTTATTGGTCCATTCCAGGTCACGTGACCAGCGGAGCTCTTTCTTGAGGCTCCCATTGGCTGGACCTGGCGGTCACGTGACCATCTAGGAAGGCCCAAGATGGCGCCGCCGGCACCGCGGTGCGTGGTCCCTGCGGGCCGCTGCAGCCCCGGGGGCGGCAACGTCTGGAGCAGGGGCTCCAAGGCCCCTCCTGGCCCAGGAGGGACAGTCTCCGCCTGCCCCACGGGCCGCGTGCCCTGACCGCCCCCCCTGCCCCTCCAGGCCCGAGGCAGGACGCGGAGGCAGCCAAGAGGTTCATCCTGGACATGTACACCGGCATGTACGCCAGCTGCGTGGACGGCGCTGACGGGGGCAGGAAGGGCCCGCGCTCCCGGCGCCTCTTCAGCCACTACACGTGCGCCACGGACACGCAGAACATCCGCAAGGTCTTCAAGGACGTGCGGGACTCGGTCCTGGCCCGCTACCTGGACGAGATCAACCTGCTGTGACCCAGGCCGCGCTGCCCCCGGGGCTCAGACCCGCGCGTGGCAGCGGGACCGGCGGGCGGACGGGCCCGGGGAGCCCCGCCACCCCTTGCGCTCAGCCCCATGTCCAGGCGGCGGAAGGCCCGAGTGAGTCGGGGCTTGGAGGCCGGTCGCCCCCCTCCCCCGTGGTCCACCGCCCCGGGACAGCCCGTGGGCTCGCCCTCCCTTGACCCCGTTGACCTCCTCGGAAGGGGAGCACCAGGGCCACTGGGGACGGCGGGGTGGAGGGGTGAGGAGCAGGGGAGGGGACTCGGCCTGCCCTGGGCGGTGCTGGGTGCTCCCCGGGGCAGAGGCCGCGACCTCCCCCGACCCCACGCCGCGGTCGGGGTGCACAGCCCGGGGGCGGGGGGCGTGGTCCTGCAGCCCGAGGGACCGGACTCTGGCGCCCCCTAGCGGGCCGGAGGCGGCACCGCCAGCCTGAGGTCGGGGAAGCCCCGGCGGCAAGAGAGACCTGCAAAACCCTGCGTGTTCTCACCTGTTTACAGAGGAGGGAAACTGAGGCCCACAGGCATTTCCCCCGCTTCCCAGGCTGGGGGCCGGGCGCACTGCATCTTACAACCTTCTGTATTTATTCCCTCCCCGTCTGTGGGGCCCCTTGCAGAACATTAAAGACATGACGGTCTGGAGCCCTGTGATCTGAGGGGCGTCCCGTGTCTCACTGCGCAGCCCCTTCTCAGGTCACCTGTCCCAGGTCGCGTAGCAGCACAGAGAAGGAGGGGGGACATTCGTGTTGTCCACTCACCTGTGCAGGGCGCGTCCTCAGAGCCGTGTGAGGCCCATGCTATTCACCCCAAATTCCAGGAGCCACCCCCTCACCTGGGGTGAAGGTGGAGCTGCAGATGGTGATGGCTCAGGGCCCTCAAGCCAGCCCGCCTCGGTCTTCAGGTGAGGGAACAGGTGCAGGGGAATGCAGGCGTGTGACCGCGGCCCCCGCCTGCGGGAGGGCAGAGCCAAGACACTGATCCCTTCAACACTTTTTGTTTTGTTTTATTTTACTTTTAAAAATATACGCTTTATTTTCCAGAACGGTCCTATTTACGGAAAAATTGTGACGCTAGTACAGAGTTGCCGTATGAAACCGTACCCAGTTTCCCTACTATTAACATCTTCCATTAAGATGGTCCTTTTTTTTTCTTTTTTTGTGGATAATTAATGGACGAAGACTGACTTGTTCCGTGATGAACGGAAGTCTGTTCTTTATCCAGATTTCCTCAATTTTTCCCTAGTGGCCTTTTCCTGTCCAGGACACCAGTCAGGACACCACAGGACATTAGGCTGTCATGTCACTTTAGGTGCTGCTGGGCTGTGGCAATTTCTCAGACTTTCCTCACATTTGGAATTTTAAAGAATTTACTGGCCTCCCGCTGCAGCGATTCATGAATTGGGGAGCATCCAATCTAGTGGATAGATAGAAGCTCCTGACTTCCCTTGTTTTTTGATGATCCTGACAGGTTGTTTTTTTTTAAGATTTTATTTATTTATTCATTAGAGACACAGACAGAGAGGCAGACACAGGCAGAGGGAGAAGCAGGCCCCTTGCAAGCACCCGATGCAGGACTCGATCCCAGGACTGGGATCACGACCTGAGCCTAAGGCAGGCGCTCAACGGCTGAGCCCCCCAGGTGTCCCCAATGATCCCGGCAGTTTGAAGCAGTCGGGCAGGGATTGCATTCATTTCCCCCAGCTGCTAAAACAAAGTACCACACACGGGGTGACTCTGTCTCAGTTCTGGGGGGCGGGAGTCAAGGTGTGGCAGGGCATGCTCCCTCTGGAGGCTCCAGCGCAGGGTCCTTCCTACCTCTCGAGCTTCGGGGGCTCCAGGCGCCCCTCCGCCCCGTCTCCACATGACCCCTTCTCGTGTGTGTCTGTGTCTGTGTCCACATTCCCCTCCCTTATGGGGGCACCAGTCATACTGCATGGGGACCCCCCCAACGGCCTCATCTTTGCTTGTCACATCTGCGAACACCCTGTTTCCAAAGAAGATCACATTCGCACAGACCAGGGGTGAGGACTTTCCCATCCATATCTCCTTACAGGTGTTCTGTGGGAAGTCCCTCAGTGAGGTTTGCCTAGGGTGTTCCTCATGCTTGGCTCCAGTTATGGGTTTTAGGGCAGAGGGCCACAGAGGCAAAGGGCTATTTCCACCTCATTATATCAAGAGCACATGCAGTCAACCTGCCACCACTGTGGGCCTCGGTCACCTGCTGAGGAGTCACCCAACACTTTTGAAAACTATTTTTTTAAAGATTTATTTACGTATTTATTTATGATAGACATAGAGAGAGAGGCAGAGACACAGGAGGAGGGAGAAGCAGGCTTCACGCCAGGATCCCGATGTGGGACTCGATCCCGGGACTCCAGGATTGTGCCCTGGACCAAATGCAGGTGCTAAACCGCCAAGCCACCCAGGGATCCCCTGAAAACTATTTTTTTAAAAGATTTTATTTATTCATGAGCGATACAGAGAGAGAAGCAGAGGCACAGGCAGAGGGAGAAGCAGGCTTCCCTGCGGGGAGCCTGATTCAGGACTTGATCCCAGGACCCGAGGATCATGACCTGAGCCACCCAGGCACCTCTATAAACTGTTTATTTTATAGTAATTTCAGATTTACAGAAAAGCTGCGGAAGTAAGTGCAGAGTTTCTAGACAGCGGCCGCCTGGCTTGCCAGATGTCATATCTCAGGTGACTGTACTACAGGCCAGGTTAGCGAAGCCAGGAGTTGGGTGTCCGCTGTGCCCAGCTGGGAGACTTTGTCCCACATTGGCCAGTGTTCCCTTAATGCCCTCTTTCTGCTCCAGAGCCCCTCTGGAAAGGAACCCCAACAACTGTCCCCGTGTGGGTGGACCCTGAGGACACTGGGCTCAGGGAGGAGACCCAGACCCAGAAGGACACCTCCCGCAGGACCCCACTCCCAGGAGGTTCCCAGAGGAGGCCCGTCCACAGAGACAGGAGGTGGTGAGAGCCAGGGGTGTTGCAGGGGGCGGGGGGTCAGTGCTTCCTGGGAACAGGGTCTCCATGTGGGGAGATGGAAGGTTCTGGAGACAGTGTGGGGGGGCTGTGTGTGGCAGGGTGAGTATGCTCCGTGCCCTGAGCTGTGCACTTAGAGACGGTTAAAATGGTGAATATTATGCTCTATGATTTTACAATTAAAAATAATTTTTAAAAGCTTAGCATGATAAAAAAAAAAAAAACCCTCTCCCCCTCCAATTATTGGTTACCTAGACATAGAGGCCGTGCCGGAGAGACAGGGTACAGGCCCGCTCCTCTGCTCTGTGCCTCTGGTTTCGCAGTTTTCGGAACAATGACTCAGTTCCCCATCATCTGCAAAAGAGAACCAAACACTCATTACTTTCGTGTCTCCGAGAACTAGTGGATGTTAAGAAATACTCGTCGACGTGTTTCTGTAGCAGGCGTTACTCTCTTGCTGTGCCCACGTGGCCGGGCCTCTGCAGGCGGGCTCCTCAGGCCTCCTGACATGCCCCACCGGCCTCGGGACTTCACGGCCTGGCACAGACAGAGGGACGCTGTGGGCTCCTCCGGCCCGCTCCCAGCCCCGGCCCCGGCGCCGTCATTCCTCCCAGGAGCCCTGCTGCTTTTGTGACATTTAGGGACCACAGTCCGACCGCAGAGTTAGGAAAGAAGTTGCAAAACGACTACAATGAACTCCCGTGTACCTTCATCTAGGTCAGAGGTCAACAAACTACCTGCACTAAGCCCGTGTTTTGCAAAGGAAGTTTTCTGGGCTCGCCACCAATCCTGTACATAGTGGCCGAGGCAGCTCCCGCTGAAACAGCAGAGTTGAGTAATTGTCACAGAGACTGGCCCGCAGAGCTGAAAATATTTACCTTTTGGCCCTTTGCAGAAAAGATCTAGATTCCAGAGCTGGATCTGCCCATGGCTGACCTTTTGCTTTGTATCTGCCTATAAACATAATCTAGAAGTATATAATATATACCATAGAAAATATTCTTCTCCCTTTTCTTAATTTTTCTAAATATTTTGAGAGTGATTTGGAGACATCATGAACCTTTATTCTAAAACAGCATGCGTTTCCTAGAAATAAACACCTTCTGGTAGCTACATAAGCAACAGACGATGGTCAAATTCAGGAAAGCTAACATTGGTAGAATAATATATTTTAAAGATTTTATTTATTCTTGAGAGACACAGAGAGAGAAGCAGAGACACAGGCTGAGGGAGAAGCAGGCTCCCTGCGGGGGCCTGATGCGAGACTCGAACCCAGGACCCCAGGGTCACGCCCTGAGCTGAAGGCAGACGCTCAACTGCTGAGCCCCCCAGGTGCCCCCGGTCTGTCCAATTTTAAGGTCACTCAATATTGATGCTCACCCTGCCCCAGGCTTGGCCAACAGCTGCCCCGTCAGGCTGGCCCCTGTCCTTCTCGGGGCCCTTCCTTACTTTCTGGCACATCAGATGTTCCAGGCTCGTCAGACACTCTCCCTGCCTCATTCCTGGATCAGCTGTTTCTCCCACGAGCCCTGAAGATGGGATTTAGGAGCGGAGATCTGGGTGTTAGATAGATGCACTTGTGGCTCCTGGCTTGTCTCAGCAGACGGAGTTACGAGTTACGAAATAGGTTTTTGTTTAAATCATGGGCCCAAGGACACCTCGGTTGCTCATCAGTTGAGCATCTGCCTTCAGCTCAGGGCGTGATCCGGGGGTCCTGGGATCAAGTCCAGCATCAGGCTCCCCACAGGGAGCCTGCCTCTCCCTCTGCCTGTGTCTCTGCCTCTCTGTGTATCTCTCATAAATAAATAAATAAATAAATAATAAACAAACAAACAAACAAATAAATAATCATGGGTCCACCCTGACACTTTCCATCCTATTCCATCCCCATGGGGTTGAGGGGTATGTCCTCCCATTCCATATTTACATCGTATTTCCTCCCCGGTGAAGACCTGGCTCTTAGTAACATCAGTACACTTGCTACTTTGCTCAGTCCCATAACACACATGAGACTTTCAGAATCACTGCACCTCCTCCACTCCTGAAAACAAATCTACTAAACAGGTTCTCATTTTTTTGTTCTTTTGGTAGTTCCTTTTGTCTTTAGCACAAGTGCATGTCCAAAAGTTGCATGGGCTCGTTTTCCTCTATTTCTCAGGTGGTTATGATTTCCATCTGAAATACAGTTCGGTTCATCCTTTTTCAGTTCACGATCCATTCTCAAGCTTTCTGCTCTGCGCACTTGTTGATTTAATTTTATTGCAGAATAGAAATCATGGAGTTTGAAAACTACACAAACAGAAATGTTCAGAGGTTGTCATCCCCTCCTGCCTCCTTCCATTCTAACTCTACCCACCCCCCGGAGGGAACCAATCTCACTGGTTCCTGGTTTATCTTTGCCTTATTTATTTTGCAAAAACAAGCAGCTATGTGTATGTTTTATTCCTCCTTCCTTGTTTTGCAGAAAGTAGCCTACTATCTATACACTTTTGTATTTTTTCCCCACTTAAGCAATACAACCTGGAGGTGGCTCCAGTCCACTCTTGCTCATGGCCATGTGGCACTCCATGCTACGATGCGGCGTGGCTCCTCCCCCGTGTGCAGACATTTGGGCTGCTTCTGATATTTTGCATTTACAAACAACAATGAATAACCTTTTGCATTCATATTGCACATGGTCAGAGCTGTGCCTTTGGGCAGGTTTCCAGAAGGGAGATTGCTCTTTTGTAGCATGGGGATAATCGTGAGATTAAATGAAGTATAATGAACATAGGGCCTTCCACCAGGCAGCAGGTAATTCATGGCAGGAGGTCATTGTTGGATGGCTGGGCCTTGCTAGTCCAACCTGTGCTCTCATTACATTTACTTTAGTCCTGAATTTGCTCTCTGAGCCTAAGTCAGGGATGCAACTGGACTGGGGATTAGGCAGGGGTGGGGCTCAACTAGAATTGGGGCTCAGCTTGGGGTCAGGGTCCAGTCCAGGGCCAGGTCTCAGCCAGGGTCAAGGTCAGGGTTGTGGCCAACCTATAATCACATACTCAGCCGAGGTCAAGGTTCAGCAAGGATCAGGGCTCAGTCTAGCATCAGGGCCAGGATTAGGGCTCAGTCTGGGATCAGAATTTAGCTTGGGATCAGGGCTCAGTCCAGGATCAGGGCTCAAACTGGGATCAGAGCCAAGATCGGAGCTCAGCCTAGGATCAGGGCTCAGTCTGGGATTGGGGCTCAGTCTAAGATCAGAGCTCAGTCTGGGATCAGAGCTAAGACAGAGACCAGGGCTCAGTCCAGGATCAGAGCTCAGTCTGGGATCAGGGCTCAGTCTGGGATCAAGGCTCAGTCTAGGAGCAGGGCTCATTCTAGGATCAGAACTCAGTCCGGGATCAGGGCTCAGCCTGGGGTCAGAGCCAAGATGAGAGCACAGCTTGGGATCAAGGCTCAGTCTGGACTCAAGTACCATTTTAGGGTCCAGGCTCAGCCTCAGAACACACAGTGTGTCCTCTGTGAATGTGTCTAAGTGGGATGGTTGCTGACCGAGGCTCAGTTCTCAGCTACGGAGGATGGTCCCTGAGTAAGATCGGGCTGCTCAGCCCCTGCCTGTCACACCCCCACTGCCTGGGCAGCACTTGTTCCCAGAACTTGCTGTTGGGGCTGCTTGTGCTCGGTCACCTCCAGGGACAAGAGGCTACGGCCTCCCCCGGCAGCACCTCTATCTGTGGCTCCCTGTGACCACGTGGCTCCCAGGGCTGAACGGTGAACAAAGGGAGCGGTGCTGCCCGGTGGCCCCCGTCTCCCGATTGGCCCGGCCCTTATGGGGCTGCTGGAGCCTGTCATGGGGACCCGTGCCTCCCACAGCCAGACTCCCCAGGACGGGCTCTACTCTCACCCCTCCCCCACCCGCACCACAGGACCCAACATCTCAGGCTGTGTAGGCCTGAGCAGGCCAGGATGGGCATGGGGGGGTGAGTTCCCACTTTTCCCATGAGCCCCTCTCCCTCCAGGGGTGAGAGGCTGCCTTGGGGGCTGTCCGGGAGGCTCCTGGCAGGGCCAGCTCGGGGGCAGGTTGGGCAACCCCAGGAAGGGGACCTGCATGGGTCCGCGAGTGGGTGTTGCCCTCCCGCTGGAGGCAGCCGGACCCCGTCTCCGGGCCTCAACCTCCCCTTCTGTGCACGGGCATGCTGCAGGTGCGCCCTGGGAATAAGACGGGATGCATCTACGCCTTCACTGGGGTATCTGGGGGCGCTCACCTGTGTGCCGTCACTTGGCACGCTTATTAAGCACCTACTGTGTGCTGGGCAGGCTCGGAGCCTCTGAGAGAACAGCCGGTCCGGAGCGGGTGGCCCGTGGGGGGCCGGGGAGCGGCCCGGCCCGGGGAAGCACGGGGAGCGCCGCGGAGAGGCCCGGTTCCCCTCCTCCCTGGGCCCCCACGCCTCCCCGGGCTTTCTAGGACCACGAGGGACAGAGACAGGGTCTGGCCGCAGGGGGCGACCGCAGGGCCCTCCGGAGCCTGGGTGGGGGCCGACCGTTGGGATGCCCCTCCCCGTCCCCGGCCTCACCCCCGGCTTGGGGGTACCTTGAACATAACAGGAAATTTGAAACAACAGGAAACCGAGGCCGGCCGGCGGGCGGCTCCACCCTGCCCGGGGCGAGCCACCCCGGGCTCAGTGTGCCCCAGGGGACCGCCATGAACAGCACGGGGCCCCCGGCGGCCGCCCCCGAGTCCTGCCAGCAGCTGGCGGCCAGCGGGCACAGCCGCCTCATCGTGCTGCACTACAACCACTCGGGCCGGCTGGCGGGGCGCGCCGGGCCGGACGAGGGAGCCTGGGCGTGCTGCGGGGCGTCTTCGTGGCCGCCAGCTGCCTGGTGGTGCTGGAGAACCTGCTGGTGCTGGTGGCCATCGTGACCCGCATGCGCTCGCGGCGCTGGGTGTACTACTGCCTGGTCAACATCACGCTGAGCGACCTGCTCACCGGCGTGGCCTACCTGGCCAACGTGCTGCTGTCGGGCGCGCGCACCTTCCACCTGGCGCCCGCCCAGTGGTTCCTGCGCGAGGGCCTGCTCTTCATGGCGCTGGCCGCCTCCACCTTCAGCCTGCTCTTCACCGCCGGCGAGCGCTTCGCCACCATGGTGCGGCCGGTGGCCGAGAGCGGGGCGAGCAAGCGCGGCCGGGTGTACGGCTTCATCGGGCTGTGCTGGCTGCTGGCGGCGCTGCTGGGGCTGCTGCCGCTGCTCGGCTGGAACTGCGTGTGCGCCTTCCCGCGCTGCTCCAGCCTGCTGCCGCTCTACTCCAAGGCCTACATCCTCTTCTGCGTGGGGGTCTTCGCCTGCATCCTGGCCGCCATCATGGCGCTCTACGGGGCCATCTTCCGCGTGGTGCGCGCCAACGGCCAGAAGGCCCCGCGGCCCCCCGCCCGCCGCAAGGCCCGCCGGCTGCTCAAGACGGTGCTCATGATCCTGCTGGCCTTCGTCGTGTGCTGGGGCCCGCTCTTCGGCCTGCTGCTGGCCGACGTCTTCAGCTCCACGGACTGGGCGCAGGAGTACCTGCGCGGCATGGACTGGATCCTGGCGCTGGCCGTGCTCAACTCGGCCGTGAACCCCCTCATCTACTCCTTCCGCAGCCGCGAGGTGTGCCAGGCCGTGCTGGGCTTCCTCTGCTGCGGGTGTCTCCGGCTGGGGCTGCGGGGGCCCCGGGACTGCCTGGCCCAGGTCACCGAGGCCCAGTCCTCCACCACGGACAGCTCGCTGAGGCCGAGGGACAGCTTTCGGGGCTCCCGGTCGCTCAGCTTTCGGATGCGAGAGCCCCTGACCAGCATCTCCAGCGTGCGGAGCGCCTGAGCCACTGTGGGGGCCCCGATCCGGCTGTCCTGTCCCCCCTCGTCCCCCCCCCCGTGCAGGCCTCGGGGCGCTCCTTCGGGCCACGGGAGTTGGGAGCGCGCAGGGAGCGTGGGGGCTCTGAGGGAGAGGCAGGGACACGGCAGCGAGCTGGGCGTGTGTCCCAAGGCCCCAGGGGCCTCCTCACAGCGCCTGCGCCCGCCGGTGCCAAGCAGGTGTCCCGCGGTCTCCCTGGAGGCGGCGGTTGCTCACTGGAACGGGGACGGGCCTGGAGTGGGGGTGAGCAGGCTTGCTGTGTAGACCCCCAGCTCCTGCACGATGCTGGGGACCCCCAGCTCCTTCCTGAATTCTGGCGGGGGGGCCGCCAGGCTGCCAGGGGCGGGCGGCGGTGGGGGTTGACACCCTGGCAACACGGAAGTTAATGACGGTTTGTCCCAGCGTCGCTCTTATTCACCTGTGGGCACCGGGGCGACGGGGCTGCGGGTCACTGGCGGCGGTGGGCACGTGCGCCCCTGGCCGGGGAGGGCAGCAGGTCTGTGTGGACAGGGGTGCGGGGCGAGGGGCAGCGGCAGAGCGAGGGTGCGCGTGTGTGCACACGGGGGTGAGGGCCAGAGGGGCTGCCGGCTGGCCCCGGGCCCCTCGCTCACTTCCCCTTTCCCTACCCCATCTCTCATCTTGGGCGCCTCGCGGCCTCTTCCCCGCCTCGGGCCTCTGTGCTCCTCGGGGTCCCGCCTGGGGGCCAGCGGGGCGCAGCCGCCTCGGCCTCCCGGCCACAGGGAATCCGGCCCGCTCCCCTCCCAGCCCCTCTAGCACCAAGTGCCTTGCCCTCGCCTCCTGTAAAATGGGCCGATGAGGGTCGGACCCCGCAGCCCAGGGCCGTGGGCGCACACCCTGCGCTCACCGCAGCACGTGGTGTCCAATGCGTCTGAGGAAACTCCTGGCGACCGTGGGAACCTGCCACCTGTTTTTGGAGCCCCGGCGGCGGTGCCGCACTTGACACGTGGCTGGTGAGATCCTAGAAGTGAAACCGTCCTCTGTGGCCCTTGTGGCACCCGTGCTGTACGGCCCAGAGGTGACACGCCCTCCGTGTGCACCCACGTCCAGCTGGGAGAAAGTCCTCTCCCTCCTTCCAGGCATGACAGTGCCGGCCGGGCTTCCTGCCACCGTCTCGCCAAGTTCTGGGGCTGCGGGGTAGGGCGGCAGCACCCTGGCCGCCGCTTGGGCACCGGACAGCTGTGTGCACGACCAGGGGCGCCGCAGCGACGGGAAGCCGCGCTGCCCGGTCCGGTGGCCACTGGCCACGCGCGGCTGCTTACAATTAATGAAAATGAAATGAAATCTTAAAAGTCGCCCTCCCGGTGCCTTGGTGTGCTGCCGGGCCGCGTTGGGGGCAGCTTCGCAGGAATCCGCTCTCTGCTCTCCGGTGGTTCTGGAGGCCGCACATCCGCGGAGCCGACAGGGGCAGAGCCTGACCCCGCGCTCTCCTGGATTCCGGCAGGGGCGCCCCTCGGCCTGTGCGAGCATCCGCTCTCTGCTTTCCGGGGTCTCCAGGCCCAAGCCACCCCTTTCTAGAAGGATGCCAGGCCCACCCTAAACACCTGGTTTTCAGCTCGATCACCTCTGTAAAGACCCTGCCTCCAAATCTTGTCCCATCTGGGGACTTCGACATGTGACCTTTGGGGGACGCGATTGAGCTTGCACCATAGTGGCCTCTTCCCCGCCTCTGGCCCGTGCCCACGCCTAGTCCTCACCTGCCTTCTCTCTGCCCATCCTTCGGGTCTCGGCTCTGGCACCATCTCCTCTAGGGCGTCTCCCCTGATTTCTTCTCCTCCCTTCGGTTTCCCCTCGTGTCCTGCCGCCTGCGTGTCCCACATGGATGGCAGCTGTGACCACTTCTGGACGCTCATGCATCTCTTGCCTGGGCCGTGAACTCCGTGAGGGTGGGGGCTGGGGCAGTGTCCGGGTCACTACGGTGACCAGAGCTCTGGGAGGACTGGACGCAACAGCGTGCCTTCCTCGGAGCCTCCGGAACCTTCTTCTAACCACCCCCCCGCTGCCAGCCCTCCTCCCTGACAGCAGCGCAGCTGTCCCAGCAACCCTGACTTAGGCGCTTGGATGGGGGAGCGTCTGGAACCCGCCACCCTTGCCAGCTGTGCCGCACACCACGGCCTCGGCTTCCTCGTCTGTAAAGGCAGGGTATCGACAGCCCGCCCCCGGCGTGTGGACACGGGGAGGCCCCCAGAGCCTCCCGAACCACACGCATACGTTCTTTTTTTTTTTTTTTTTTTTTTTAAATTTTTATTTATTTATGATAGTCACAGAGAGAGAGAGGCGCAGAGACATAGGCAGAGGGAGAAGCAGGCTCCATGCACCGGGAGCCCGACGTGGGATTCGATCCTGGGTCTCCAGGATCACGCCCTGGGCCAAAGGCAGGCGCCAAACCGCTGCGCCACCCAGGGATCCCCACGCATACGTTCTTAAGTGAATAACAACAGCAACAAAACCTTATATGGTCCTCGGTGCCTGGCCCTGCTATCCCCACCTTTCTATTAACGTATCGATTCCTCAGAAATCTCTGGAAAGTCCCACCGTTAACTCCATTTTACAGACGGGGACACTGAGGGCCAGAGAGGTCAGGTCCCGCAGCTGGGAAGGGGCAGAGCTGGCGTTCCTGGGCTCAGGGGCACGCAGGTGGCTGCTTGGCCCCCGCTGGGTGGGGCTCAGATAAATCTCTCCGCTCTCCAGACGGAAACCCTGGCTCAGGGAGGAGGCGGCTCGGGCAGCTCTGGGGTCCTCACCTTGTTACCTGAGCCAAGTTCTGGCCGCGCTCTCAGGCGGTCTTTGGGTGAGCATGTGTGACTCTCGTGCGTTCACAGCCCGACCCGGAGGAACAGGGACAGACGGAGGAATCGGGGATGAAGAGCACCAGGGCCAGGATGAGCTCTGTTTCTCTCCCCTGCCCTGCCAGGCCAGCCCTGATCCTCAGGCCCGGCGGCTCCCTGGCAGCGGCGGCAGACAGGACCTGGTGGGGTGGGGGTGGGGGCTCTGGGGCTCGCTTCTCATGCATCTCACTCATTCATTCACTGAACCACCGAGTGTCGGGCTCTCTTCTGGGCACAGGGCTTGCACCCCTAAGCAACCCGCTGCCAGACCCCGTAAAGGTCCCGCTCTGTGGGGGAGACAGACCCCCACACGGCATCTCAGGACGATGTTACCCCTGGAGGGGGGAGCAGATGCAGCAGAGCTGGGTGCGTTCTCTCCCTACCCACACGCCCTGAGCACTGAATGTGGGCCTGGCTCTTTCTGAGCTGGTTCACGGGGATCATTCTATTGGATTCTTACCCCTGAGGGGTGGGGAAAGGGTGTTGGATTATTACCATCATATCGGGCAGCTGAGAAAACAGGCTCCCAGAGGTGAAGCAGTCTGCCCAAGGTCACACAGCCCGGAAGGGGAGGCGCTGGGACTTGAATCCAAAATGCTGTGAGTCTGCGTCACCTCGCACCTGGGACAGAAGGGAGGCGGCCCTATGGGAGCCTGGACGTCAGCTCGCTGAGGGGGGGTCGGCCTTTCCTGATCTGCACCCCTGGCCTCAGCCTTCCCATCTGTAGGAGTGGGTATGACCCCTGGCTGGGACACAGTGCCTTCTTAGGGTCGCCACATTCGAAAATACAACCTTGGGACACCCAGTTAAATTTGCATTTTTGATGAACAATGAAAAATAAAAAATTGTTTCAAACTATGAGTATGCCCCAAATACGAATAAGCCTTAAGTATATATATATATATATTCCTCATCATCACCCCCTTCACGAACTCCAGGGTCCAGACTACAAGTCCCACAACCCATTGCGCCATCCCTTTAAGAAACTTCAATTATTTCTTTATTATTCTTTCATTCATTCAAAAATGGTATAACCCACCCACCGTGCGCCAAGCGTCGCACTAGGTTCTGGGGATACATCAACGCACGAAGCAGGCAGAAGTCTTTTCCCTCGCGGAGTTTAACATCTACGACCCTTGGCAGTTTTAAGTGATTTTTTTTTCATACTCCGTCCACGAAGACTACAACTCCCATGAGACCTTGTGCCCGCGTAGGAGGACTACAATTCCCAGGAGATTGCGCGCACTAGGCTGCCTCCCCCCTTTCCCCCCCTTGCCCCCCCCTTCTCGGCTCTCATCCCAACTTCCTTCCGGGTCGCAAGGTCATGTCCTGCCCTCGCCTCTCGCCTCCCCGCCCCCTCCCGCCACAAAGATAGCGTTTGAGAAAGTTCCGCTGCAAATAATTGCTTTCGAGTCTCCGCATTTTTCTGACTCGCGTGTCAGGTGACGCCTCATCCGCAGGCCTAGCCCAACAGTCCGTCACAGCGTCCCGTATTGCGATGTAACGGAGCCGGCCTACCACTCCCAGGAGGCTCCGCGCGCGCGCCAGGAGGACTACAACTCCCCGGAGGCTGCGCGGCGGGCGGGGCGGCCCGCGGCGGTGCCCGCAGGACCCCGGAGCAGGCGCGGGCTGCCCGGCGCGGCGCCCGCAGGACCCCGGCGGCTACCCATGCCGAGGTGAGTCCGCGGGAGCCGCCGCCGCCGCCGTCCCGTCCCGCCGCCGCCCCGCGCGGCCCCGCCGCCGGCCAGGATGCTGGAAGAAGCGGGCGAGGTGCTGGAGAACATGCTGAAGGCGTCGTGCCTGCCGCTCGGCTTCATCGTCTTCCTGCCCGCGGTGCTGCTGCTCGTGGCGCCGCCGCTGCCCGCCGCCGACGCGGCGCACGAGTTCACCGTGTACCGCATGCAGCAGTACGACCTGCAGGGCCAGCCCTACGGTGCGTGCGCCCGGCCCCGGCCCCGGCCCCCGAGCCCCGGCCGGGCCCGGAACCCGCAGCCGCCTGCTCCCCTCTGCCCGCTTCCCGGCGCTTCCCCGGCCGCCCCCGCGGTGCCCATCCTCCCCGGGCCGCGCCCCCGCGCCCAGAGCCCCCCCCCCCCCGGGGCAGTTCCAGCCGGTCCTGACCTCGGGGGCGCCCCGGAGCCGGGGTCCTGCTCCCCTCGGGGCTCAGGAGCTCTGATCACAGGCCCCGCGGCTGGGCCCCTGAGCCCCCCCTGCAGTCCTGGCGCCAGGGGGCTCCTGGGGTCCCTTGCCCCGGGAGCGTGGCCCCTCCCTCTGGTGCACACCCCTGCGCGGGGCTCGGCCTCCCCGCCCCACTCCCGCCCTCCGTCCAGGAGTCCCGGGTGCCTCCGACCCCGCTCCCCGCTCCGTGCCCTCCCTGACCTGCTGGGCCTGCACCCCGCTCCGCTCTCGCTCCCCCGTCCTGCTCCTTCTCCTCTCGGGGTCCTGACCCCAGCCCCAAGCCTAGATTCCCTCATCTCTGCTTCATTACAGCTGTCTCTGGCCTTCCAGAACCTTCCAGGCTCTGGTTTTTCTCTCGGCTCGCTGCCTTAGGTCCCTACGGGTCAAAGTCTGCCCTCTCCAGAGCGGGGCTCCCTCCGCAGTCCTGGGTCTTCTCGGCCCTGAGCCCACCTGCTCGTGGACTGGCCCCTCCTGTCTGAACACCTCAGGCCCAGCCTGACCCTGTGGATCCCCAGCCCAGCCCTGGGGGGGGGGGGGTGCGGTCCCAGCCTCCCATGGAGTCCTGTCCAGACTCCCCTTCGCATCCCTCCTCATCCCAGAGTTAGACCGTTGCTGTTTAGTGGTTGTCAACCCGGGGGTCGTTGGGTGATGACTTCACGGTTGTCACAGGTACAGAGGTCCTGGCATCGAGTGGGGGGTGGGCGGGGGTGCCAGGCAGCCCCGCACAGAGAAGCACTGGCCCTGCATGTCCACGGTGCCAGGGGGCAGACCCGGGGCAGGCGGGCTGAGCGATGCTCTTCAACCCGAGGCCTCAGGCTCTGGGTGGGGGGCGGGGAGGGAGGACCGGGAGCCCCCGGCCGTGGCACGTTCTCTGTGGCGTGCTTCACACTCTGCTGGGGAGGGGTCCTTACCCACACGGTCTGAGCCGTTCTGGGCCGTTCTGGGACGAGGGTGTGTGCCGTGTGCCAGGATGGGAGCCGCAGCCACAGGTGGTCCCTGCACCCCCGAGACGGCTCGAGACGGGGCTCGGGCAAGGCAGGAGGGGAATTTCGAGGGTTTGTCCATGTACCGAACCGAGCCCCAGCCTGGAGCTTCTGTTGGTTTCCCGGGGGAATCTGACTCCCGGAGGCCGGGGGCCCCGGATGTGAGATAAGCCGCTTCTCCAGATCCGAGTGGGTTTCTGTGTTGCCTTTTCCACTCCCCTCCCTTCCCGGAGCGCATCGCCCCGAAGCCCTGGGTTCCCCCCAGTCTGGGTCTCCACGCCCCCCGTCTCTGCCGCTCCCAGCGAGAAGCCCAGATGCTCCGTGCCTCACGCGGGGCGTCCGGGAAGACCTTGGGCTCCGGGGGTGAGCTCGGGGGTCTGGGGGGCGCCGCCTGCCCCGGCCAAGTGCTGCTTTGCGGCAGGAGGAGGCGGAGGCCCGGCTCCAGGTGCCCGCGTGAGGCCCCCGTGTGCGGCTCACTCGCCTCCTGGCCCCCGTGCCAGGCCCAGCAGGCTGCGTTCAGCCACCGGTGCTGGTGGGGGGACGTCGGCGCGGTGCTGGGAGGCGCGGCCCCTGGCGGAGGGGCCCTGGAGGGACCCCGGGTCCTTGAGAGCTGCCCTGCTGGCTCACCGCCCATGGCGCCCTCCCCAGTGTCCCAAGCCCCCCCTCCGAGCCCGCAGGCTCCCCGCCTCCTGCAGCAACCCTTGCTCTGGGTTTCTCTTCTTTCCTAACTTCCTGTTCGCTCCTCTTGAGAAACGCGGCTGGCTGCTGGGAAGGAAAGGCGTGTGCTGTTTCTGCTCAGGGTAATCCACCAGGTACAAGGCCGCGGGGTGTGACCTCACCCCCCTGCCAGGCAGACTCTGGCCCTCCCGAGGGCACGGCTGGCCTCCACCGCGCTCACCACCATGTGCCGGTGCTGCTCAAGTTGAGCGGCCCGCTCGAGCCCTGCTCCCTGCATGCCCTGGGCTGACCCGAGCCCCTAGGAGGTGGGGGCATCAGCACCCCAGCGCCCGTGCCAGCCCCCTCCACCCGGTGTTGTGGATAAAGTTTACTGGCGCACAGCCACTCCCTCTGGTTGGCATGCCTGCCTGGGACGGAGCTGAGCAGTTGAGACAGAGCTGGTGCGGCCAGCAGGGCGAGAGGGGTGACCTTCTGGCCCCCGACAGAGCCGTTGGCGAGCCCCGCTGGGGTCTGGGTCTGTTGCCAGAAGCCGTGACTTCTGTCCAGGGGTCCTGCGCTCACCTTCGTGGCACCTGCCAGGCCTGACCTCTTCCTGCCTAGACTGAGGGGTGAGGGCAGCCGCGCTGGCTCAGCAAAGAGGGGGCCTCTGCCCTTGGGACCCTCAGGGCCTGGGGGGGCTGGTGGCCCGCGTCCACCCAGCTCTGCTCTCCGCCTCCCTTTCTCTGGCTTCCTCCCTCTGGGTCCTGTCCTGCAGGGGCTCCAGGCCAGAAGACGCACACAGTAGGTCCCACGGGTGGCCCTGTGTCTCCACCCGCAGCTGAATCTGAGGGCCTCTGGGAGGCCGAGCACAGGACAGGTGGGGCAGGGGGAGGGGTGTCCCCAGCCCTGGAGAGCTTCAAGGACGCGCTGAAGGTCCTGCTGCCCTCTCCCTGCTCGGCTGTCCGGGGGCTCCCACAGGGGAGCCTGAATCAGAGAAAAGGCCCCTGGAGGGTTGGGGTGGAGGCGGGGGTGCCCCCTCCAGGCCTGGGCACGTGCCCCACCCTTGCTCCGTGGTCACAGGCCTCCCGCCCTGGAGATGGCCTTCCCCGTTGCAGCTGGGACGCCGTCCGCCTCCCTGACCAGCCCTACGGAGCCCTCCCCTGGAAGCAGGCCCTCTCCCACCTGTCTGCTTTCCCAGACCACGTCCCTGGGGGCTGGGCTGGTCCCGTGGCCTGGTGGCGGTCCCCCTGCGCCTGGACGCCCGTCGTGTCCCCCTGCGACCTTGACCTCCAGGACGGCGGAAGTCGGCCCACTTCTGTGCGTCCTCTTCTGAGTCACGCTCACTGTGTCCCAAACCAGAAGCCCCGGGGGCCACGTCCAGTCCCCACACACAACGTGGTTTGCTTGTTTAGCGCATCCTGGGTTGGCCTGCGGCTTTTGAAAGGTTCTGGAATCGTCGCTTACCTTTGCCGTTTGGGTGATTTGGTGTAAAAGTTGGGATTTCTGGCAGCATCCCCGTCAAGTGCCGCGACCGTGGGAGATGCCTGAGTCCGTTCCCGCAGCGCACGGGGCACAGACGGGGGTCTGCGCGTGCTGAGGGCCTGTGCGAAGTCCCGGGGATGTCAGCGCTCCTCCACGTTCCTGCGTTTGACGTCCGCGTGGCTTCTTGCGGCGGGTTTTCTCTGGCAGCAGTGCTCTCTGGGCATCAGTGCATGGGTGGTCTGTCTGGGGGAGACCCCCCCCCCCCGGCCCCTGCCTTAGAAAAACTGTGCGTGCCCTGGTTCTGAGCCACTCCTTCTCCTTGCGGAGGGGGCAGGTTCAGTTTCCTGGAAACTCCGGCTCTAGCGCTCTCCCTGATTTTCTGGAGCTTTCTTCAGCTCTCAGAAGAGGTGGGAGGTGGCCCTTGGGTTTAGAGCAGGGGCTCCTCCCCCCCCAGGCAATCTTGTCCCAGGGGGACACTGGGCCATGTCTGGGACATCTGTGGTTGTCACGGTGGGAGACCATCCAGCTCCTGGCGGCACGGAGCAGGTGGGGGCTGGGAATGCTGCTCAGTCCCCCCCCCCCACCGGCGCCCGGGGTGGGGATCGTGACTCCGCAGGTTGGAGCGAGCACTGCGTCCATGATGCCCGTGGCCCAGTGGCAGACCCTGAGGGCTCCCGAGTTGGTGGTTTCCAGGTAGGGGTCCCGGCGCCCCACTGAGGGAGGCCCTCCCTGCCCCCTGCAGGCACCCGGAACGCAGTGCTCAACACAGAGGCCCGTACCATCGACGCCGACGTGCTGAGCCGGCGCTGCGTGCTCATGCGGCTATTGGACTTCTCCTACGAGCAGTACCAGAAGGCTTTGCGGCAGTCGGCCGGCGCCGTGGTCATCATCCTGCCGCGGGCCATGGCTGCCGTGCCCCAGGACGTCATCCGGGTGAGTGTCCAGCCTCCTTCCACACAGACTCGGGTCCGGGAGCTTCCACAGAAGAAAGAGCACTGGGTTTGGAGTCAGCTAGGTGACCTGGGGCACGTTGCTTCACGCCCGTGTGCCCTCTGCCCTTCAGAAGGCGGGATGTTTGCTTCATCGTTGCCTCCTCCCGCCCCGAGGGACACTGGGCCGTGTCTGGGCTCGGCTGTGCTCAGGATGACTGGCCGCCAGCGGGAGGGGCTGGGGATGCTGCTCAGAGTGACCCACCCCACGTACGAAGTGCGGAGAGGGGGCTCTGCTTGGATGAGCCGGCTTGGTAGGATCCCGTGAGACCCCTCGGATGAAGATGCATCTGCAGACGGGGAGCAGGTGTGGGGTGGTGGAGGCAAGTGCTCGGTGCCGGGCACCTGGTACCCACGGGTGGGTGCCCGCCATCAGCCTTAGGGTGCCAGCATCTGTCGCCCACTCGCAGCTGAGGGCGTGATGGCCAGTGGGGCTGGGATCAGTCCCCGGTGACCCCAGACCTGACCGGCTCCTTCGCCCGTTCTCCCAACCTGCTTCCCCCCCGATGGGTACCCCTGGGGGCCCCGTGGGCATTGCCACCCTCACCTGTTCCTCCGTCCTCATCCTGTTGTACCCTGGCCCCGTCCCATCCTTTTTTCTGGCGTGAGTTTAGCCTTGTTAGCCAGCCCCAGAGTTGGTGTGCCTGCATTCCCGGGACAGCCTCTGGGCCCCCACCCCACCCTGGAAGCCCTCTCAGTGTGTGTTTCTTTGCAGCAATTCATGGAGACCGAGCCCGAGATGCTGGCCATGGAGACCGTCGTCCCTGTGTACTTCGCCGTGGAGGACGAGGCCCTGCTCTCCATCTATGAGCAGACACAGGCTGCGTCCGCCGCCCAGGGCTCTGCCTCTGCCGCTGAAGGTAGGCTCCTGGGGTCCTTCCCGTTGAGGCTGTGGCCTCACCCAGCCCTTTCCAGGACCCTGTCTCACACCTGCTGTGCTGCAGCCTCGGGGCTGGAGGCCAGGACTTTGCATTTTGCAGCCCCCACCCCACCGCTCACTCCTGTGAAAACAGAAGCTCGAGAGCTGCTAATTTGGAGGGAGGGGTTTCCCAGGTGCCTGTGGATGGTTTAAGGAAAACAGGGGCGTCTGTTCACCTGCTGATGACACTCTCAGTGTCAGCATCGTGCTTGGGCCCATCGGGGCAGAGCAGCGGCGTCGTTGGGGAAGGAGGACACGTTTCTTCTGCACCGTGGGCCAGGGATGGGCCAGGGACATCCCATCCATGAGCTTGGGGCAGGGCCGGGGGCTGTGGAGAGTGAGCTAGCTAAAGTAGTCGAAGGAACGCCACAGAACGGACCCGCCTGGCCTTCCGTTCTCCCCCGTGGAAGTGGCGGGTGTAACGGGAAGCCGGCGCTCGGAGCTGGCACGGGGGCGCGTGTCTCCCCTGCCGGCCGGCTGGGGCTGGGGAGCGGGGTCAGCAGCCCGCTCTGGACCCAGGCTCTTTCCCGCACCGTCACCACGTCTTGCTGGAGCTCACGGGGCGCTTCTGCATACAGCTTGGCTTAGCCCGGACCCCTGCCTTCTGGGGCCTTGGGGCCACGGGGATGCCGGCCTGGGTCCGGGAGCCCCCAGGGCTTGGGCTGACCCTGCCCTACCCGTCCTCAGTGCTGCTCCACACCGCCACTGCCAACGGCTTCCAGATGGTCACCAGCGGGGTCCAGAGCAAGGCCGTGAGCGACTGGCTCATCACCAGTGTGGAGGTGAGTGCCCCGCCCTGTGTGCCACACTGAGACCCGGGACAGGGGGCACTCGGGCTCCCTGAGCTCCCCCCCACCCGCTCCCCCCTGGAGGGACCTTCTGATAGGGAAATTGAGTCAAATCTCCCACTTTCTGTCACCATCCCTGGCTGCACATGGAGCCTCCTCATCCTGCTTCAGGGCCTTTGCACTGGCTGTCCTTGCCTCACAGAGAGCTCTCTCTCCCACAGTGGGTGCTCCTCTTCATCATATAATAGTCCTTCTAGTGCTGCATCCCTAGAAGTCCTCAGAACTTTTTGGGGCCACACACCCCGTTTCAGAGCTTAGCTGAAATGGGAGGGTGTCAAGCTCTGGACGTGGAAGTAGCCGATTAAAACAACAAGCCAAATGCGAGAGAGTTCAGCCTGTCATCACCTACGGTGGTGGTGAAGGCAGGGGTCTGGGCCAGAGGAGACCCCGGCTCTGCTGCCCTCCTCCCCCTGGTCGAGGGTCAGCCCCCCCCCCCCCGGCAGACATGTGGGGCTTGGACAAAAGGCCCCAGCACTTGTGTGGACGCGGGGCCGGAGTGTCTTCTCTGGTGTCGTGTCCCCCGCCCCAGTGAAGAGGTCGCCCTGAGACCCTCACAGAGGCCCCGGCCCGGGGCTGAGTGCTTGGTGGCAGCCCGCCAGCTAGCAGCGCCCGGTGTGCCCCAAATTAGTGCGGGGGCAGCCCTCTAGGTAAGGCCTTGGATGCATCCGGTTTCGGGCCTGAAAAGCCACAGATTGGTTTTACCAGGAGCTGCAGCCCCGCGCTGCCACACCAGACCCGTCCGGGCTGCACTTTCTCTTGAGCAATCGTCCCACCTGACTCATTTAGGAGCCGCGTGTCCTCGGGTCCTTTCCCATCAGCCTGAGTGTCAGAGGCACTGAGACCGTGTTTGTTGCGTCTCCTGTGAGGTCCCCAGAGCCAAAGGAGGAGCCCAGTGCCCAGTGGGCACCTAGCGAGCACTCGTCCCTGAGCCTGCTGGTCCCCCCAGGTCCCCATGGCTTCCACCAGACGGGGCAGGGCTACTGGCCAGCCCGTGGTGTTGGCGCTCGGGCACGGGTGGGACTCGGGTGGAGCGACGCTCCAGAACTGAGTGAGTCCACCCGTCCGGAGCCCCGCTGTTAGGGAGCAGCAAGCGAGATGCATTTCCTTCCTTGAGGAACTCACTTAGGGTTGGAGGGAGGCGTGAGGGCAGCAAACAGGCAGGTGGACACAGCGGGGAGGGGCTCTGGGTGGAGGACGTGGGGCAGGGGGTGCTGGGCGGCCCAGCAGGGTGGCCAATGGGACTGGACGGGCCAGCGACGTGGTCAGTGGGGCCGGATGGGCCGGCGGGGTAGCCAGCGGGACTGGACAGGCCGGTCACGTCAGCAGGGCTGGATGGGCCGATTCAGGATGTGGGGAGGCCCCTGCCTTGTCTAAGTGATCAGGGAGGTTACAGATCAAGGAGTTTCCTTAAAACTGTGGAGGATCGTGGCCGTTTGGGCAGAGAAAGCTCCCAGGAGCCAGAGCCCTCGTGGTCAAGCTCCCGAAGGTCGGGCTGAGCAGCTGCTGGTCGGATTTGCTGTGGGTGAGGAGCAGCTGGGGTCGGGGGGTCCCTCCCAGCACCAGGAGGTCTGTTTCAGCCTGGCTGCCCTGGCCTTTGCTTCCAGAATCCTCTGCCCTGCCTCGAGCCCTCTGCCACCCGTTGTCTGTGTGGACATGGGGTGCCCCCTCCCCCCGTTCTCCCGACCCTGTGGTGCCAGCATTGGCCTGTCGGTCGGGGAAGGAGGCCCGGGCCTCTAGGGTCAGCAGCACGCCCACGGTCTCGAGCCAGGAGTCCCACCTGGGCTGTGGCCCTGGGTCTCGGGTGGCTTGCTGTGGGCGGCCGCCAGGAGAGCTTCACTCCGACACGGCCGAGGCCTTCCCGGGGCTCGCCCTCTGCTCGGGAGCATCAGGAAGACGGGCCCGGCCGTGAGCTGGCAGGGGCCCCGCGCTGTGCCGTCTGACCCCGGTGCACCTCGGGACTGGCACTCGGACGGCAGGAGTGGACGCTGAGGCATTTGCTGGCGGAAGGCCGTTCTCGTCTGTCACCCGTGTGACTTCAGTGAGGGCCAGTTCACGTGGCCAAGGTGGCAGCCCGGGTGTGGGCGCCGGGACCTGGCCCGTGGCCGCGGTCGGTACCGGCTGCTTGTCCTCGTCAGCAGAGCTCTCCCGCCGGCCCGTCAGGGCTGGGGGCTCCGCCGTCGAGGATGGGCTGGGTCTCAGGTTGGGGGGGTCGGCGCGCCACGGCTCCCTTGACTTTCTTCTGTAAATAAAGTTTTATTGGCACGTGGCCACAGGCTCTCATTCGCATGTTGTCTGTGACGAGGCAGCCAAGCCGGAAATGCTGCCCCGCCGCGTGGGGGAGGCCGGCGCTGTTTCTGGCCGCTGGGGTCCAGCCAGTGTGCGCTTCACAGACCGTCTCTCTGCAGGGGCGGCTGACGGGGCTGGGTGGAGAAGACCTCCCGACCATTGTCATCGTGGCCCACTACGATGCCTTCGGAGTAGCCCCCGTATGTATGCGTGCTCTTTGGGGGAGGGGCACGGGCACCCCCCACCCCCCCTCTGCTCCCGGCACTGCTTCGGGCTAGCTCGGGGTGGGGGTCAGAGCAGCAGCACCCACCCTCTCAGGGCCCAGGGCGTCGTCACGAAGCAGAAATGGGCTAACCTGAGGCGGGTCTTGTGGCCTGGCCCCCACAGCCAGCAGGTGCCCAGGCCGGGGATCAGGATTAGGTCTGCGTCAGGGTCCCCAGGTGCGGGGGCGGGGCGGGGACACCAGGGTCCTCTCCCGGGTGACCCACAGGACACGCTCAGTTCCCCCAACACGAGCCGTGAGTATGCACGCAAGGTGTGGTCTCGGGGCCTGGGAGAGAACAGGCGCCCAGGTTCTCCGCGGGGGTCGGTCTCGTGGGTCCCTCTGCCCGGCTCAGCCGGGCCCCCAGGCTCAGGAGGGCAGCAGGTGCTCAGCACGAACCCCTTGTCTGCACAGATGGTTCAGGGACTCGAGTCTTCCACCCACGAGGGAGGCAGGAGCCCAGAGTCCAGTTCAGACGCCGAGGAGGGCCAGGCGTGTTTGCTGGGCCCCAGACCTGCCCGGGGCCGTGCTCTCAGAGCCCCTGGCACAGCGAGGTTAAGGCTCACGCCAACGCGTGAACAGTGCCCGTGTCTTCATCAGGCATGTTTTGCTTTGAAAGACGAATCAGCTGAACCAGAGAGGTGGCCAGTGGCAGCCTGGTCGGAGGTCCTGACCGTGCGACCGATGGTGGGCAGCTGTTCCAGGCCCCACCCGGCCTAGCAGGCAGGGCCTCAGCGGTCACCTCAGAGTGCCCGGCCTGCTCATCAGTCTCCCTCCTCAGCTGACCAGGAGCCTCTTGGGATCCTCCTAATCTCCTCCAATCCCTGCTGTGGAGCTTTTATCCATTTTTATTTATTTTTGAGATGGAATTGACATAACATTTGAGTTGTTTCCCTAGAATGTGTATTTTAGTGCGTTGTAGGACATCCACAGAGTTGTGCCACCGTGGTCATCTACTTCCAGAACATTCCATCTTAGAAGCCATGTCCCTGTCAGCAGCCACCCCCCAGAGCCCCCTCCCCGTCTGTGGACAAGCTTGTCCTGGACGTGTCATACATGTGGACTCACTGCGTGGCCTCCTGTGTCTGGTTCCCTCCCTGAGCATCGTGGGGCCATCTATCTCTGAATTCTTTTATTTTTTAAAAAAAAATTTCTTGAAAGATTTTATTTTATTTATTCATGAGAGACAGAGGAAGCAGAGGAGAAGCAGGCTCCCTGCTGGGAGCCCGACCTGGGACTTCCCAGGTCTCCAAGATCACACCCTGGGCCGAAGGTGGCGCTAAACCGCTGGGCCACCTGGGCTGCCCTCTCCCTGAATTCTAATAGTGTCAATACATGACATGTCAGTGTGTGGATTGTGACCTTGGGAGGGTCCCAAGCCCCATCATAGAATCCAGGTTTTTTTTACTTCCCAAGATCCCATCATGCTGTCGGGGATGTCGCTTTAGATGATAGGATCCAGAGGAGTTGGGGGCTTTCACAGCCAGAGGGAACCTGTGCCGACCCCACTCCCAGCAGCATGGGCGGGCAGCCATCCTGGGGACCATACCAAGGCGGCCGCCCAGGGCTCTAGGCTCTGCATTCTGCACGGAGGTTCCCGCGGGCATGGGGCAGAGTGTTGGGGAGAGCGCGCTGGGCTCTGTGTCCCGGGGGCTCTGCCCTGCAAACCCGGAGCGCCGTCATTCTGGGGTTAGAGCAGAGCGGTGTCCACAGGCAGGTGGGGGCTGTTAGCAGCCACAGGCACCGTGGTAGGGGCAGCAAGGTCCACCGCGGGACCTGGGGCTGACCGCTGGCCTTGTCTCCCTCCTGCCCACAGTGGTTGTCGCACGGTGCGGACTCGAACGGGAGCGGCATCTCCGTGCTGCTGGAGCTCGCCCGCCTCTTCTCCAGGCTCTACACCTACAAGCGCACCCACGCTGCGTACGTGACAGCCGGGCGGGAGGGGCTGCCGGGAGGGTGGAGCCGCTGGGTACAGGGGCTCACGCACCCCAGGAATGACTGCGTCTGAATCGAGGGCCCCCTGTGTACCAGGCCTGGAGCTGAGCCCCACCCAGATCCTGCACCCCAGGGCCCGGCATCCTTTCTGGGGATGTTTGCTGTCATCACAGCTGGGGGTGTCCTGGAGCCAGGGATGCTGCTCAGCCCCCCACAGTGCCCTGGACACCCCCAGAGAGTCTGCTTTGCCAGGACAGGGAGACCCTGCTCGGAAGGCTGCTCAGGGTTCAGTACTTATGGGGAGACCACCTCCTTGTCGGGGTCCTGGTCACTCGCCTGCAATGCTCATACCCCACTTCCCTCACACCAGGTACAACCTTCTCTTCTTTGCCTCTGGAGGGGGCAAGTTCAACTACCAGGGCACCAAGCGCTGGCTGGAAGACAACTTGGACCACACAGGTGAGTGGCCCTGTGTGACCTGGGGCTGGGGCCATGGCCCTTCCTGCGTCTCCCAACCAGCTCGGCCGCCCCGCAGATTCCAGCCTGCTCCAGGACAACGTGGCCTTCGTCCTGTGCCTGGACACCGTGGGCCGGGGGGACAGCCTGCACCTGCATGTGTCCAAGCCACCCCGCGAGGGGACACTGCAGCACGCCTTCCTGCGGGAGCTGGAGGCGGTAGGTGCTCTCCTGACCCGGGGCCAGGGAGTGGGGCCCCTCAGGGCAAGGGAGGTTCGGCAGGGACCTGGGATCCTCCCAGCTGTCAAGACCCCCTGTGGACATCCGTGGACGGAAATGGCCAGGACCAAGGCGGGAGCACCACCCTGACAGCGCCACTGCTCGCAGGTGGCCGCCCACCAGTTCCCGGAGGTGCGGTTCTCCATGGTGCACAAGAAGATCAACCTGGCGGAGGACATCCTGGCCTGGGAGCACGAGCGCTTCGCCATCCGCCGGCTGCCTGCTTTCACCCTGTCCCACCTGGAGAGCCATCGCGACGGCCAGCGCAGCAGCATCATGGATGTGAGGTGGGCGCAGCCGCAGCCCCGGGGCCTCCCCTCCACCCACAGCTGCCCTGTGCGAGCCTTTGGGCCCGGGTGTAGACGCAGACGTCGGGGGGAGTGGACCTCAGGTGTGGGTGGTGGCGACTCAAGGAATGGGACGGAGGAGGGTGGCCAGCCTGAACCTGGTGAGGGGGGAGCTGGGTCGGATTACAGAGACCCCCCTACGTGAGGGTTGAGTGAGTGGCTTGGGGGCCCTTGGCCCCCAGGTGTGAGGTCCAGACCCCACATGTGCCCCCCCAGATGCTGGGCACCTCGGTCTGCCCTGTGGCTCAGATGCTGCCGCTCCTCCCCCGGGGCCTTTGTGCGGCTGTGTGGAGGCCTGGACAGTGGTGTCCTGTCTCGTACCTCCTCAGGGAGCCCTCCCCCACCTTCCTTCCTCACATTACCTCTCGTCAAGACCCTGGGCACCTCTGGTTTCTGCCACCATAGGACTTTGCTTCCCGTCTGTGTCTCCCAGTGGTGGGTCGGCCCTGCATGGGGCCGGGGTTTTATGAGCAGGTGCGGGCAGAGGTGTTGACTGTTCCTGGGACATCAGGGAAGCTTCCTGGAGGAGGTGGTGCCAGAGCCAAGGGGAATGAGCCAGGAGAAGGGTGTTCCAGAGCCTAGGGAGCTGGAGCAAAGGAGTGCACTCTCTCCGCCCTCCCGGGAGGCCCGGCACCACACAGCCGCCCAGTCAGCAGTGTCGGCGCTGGTTTGCACCGCGCTCCTTTCACGGGTCTGTGTCGCTGGCAGTACTTGGGGTCCCTTGGCCTGCAGTCCCCCAGTCTTTGCCCCTGGGGTCGGATTGTCCCCCTGTGCGTATGCGCGTCTCCCCTTCCTGTGGGGGCATCGGATGAAGGGCTGTGCTCCTCCAACGCGACCTCGCCTGTACCCGCCTCTTCCGTGGAGGCCCTGCCTCCAAACCAGGCCGGTTCCCAGGTTCCGGGCGGGAGCGACCGTGGGGAGCACCGTTCACCCACTGGGCACCACCTCGGCTCTGCCATGCCCACGTCCCCAGCGATGAGCGGGCCCAGAGCTGTGCAGCCCTTCCGGCAGACGCTGGGCAGGCGCCCGCCCTGAGGCCGCTGTGGCTTTGCTGGTTTTCATTATTGTGGAAAATATGCTTGGGCTTTTTCGGGTGATTTAAAGGGACGCCCGTTCCAGACACCGGTGTTTGTTTTCCTCAACTCCTGCCCTAAGGTCCCGGGTTGACTCTAAAACTCTGACTCGCAACACCAGGCTCATTGCAGAGGCCCTGACCCGGGTCATCTACAACCTGACCGAGAAGGTGAGGCCCCCGCCACGCCCACTGGCCCCTGGCACCCCCCGCCCGCGGGTCAGACTCAGGGTGCGTCCCTCCTCTCTCCACAGGGAACCCCCCCGGACATGCCGGTCTTCACGGAGCAGATGGTAACGGTGGGGGCAGAGGGGCGGGGGGGGGGCACTGGCAGGGGGGGGTGTCCCCTGACCATGGCCGCGCCCCCGCAGCAGATCCAGCAGGAGCAGCTGGACTCAGTGATGGACTGGCTCACCAACCAGCCGCGGGCCGCCCAGCTGGTGGACAAGGACGGCACGCTGCTCAGCACGCTGGAGCACTACCTGAGCCGCTACCTGAAGGAGGTGAAGCAGCACCACATCAAGGCCGACAAACGGTGAGCCGCCTCGCCTGCACCCGTCGCCTGTGGCTCGCCGCTGAGCAGGCTCGTCTGGAGCCTCCCACCCTGGGTGCGAGGTTGAGCACGTAAAGCAGTGGACCAGAAATAAAACAATCCATAGGAAGTACAGGGATTCTGTTAAATGTGAATTTCACATAAATGGTTTGTTTTTTTTTTGTTTTTTTTGTTTTTTTTTGGTGTAAGTATATCTCACAGGATGTTTGGGACATACTTATACCAGAAGCCATTTCTTTTTTGTCTGAAAATCGCACATAACCGACGTTCTATGTTTTATTGGGCAGCCCTATTCCCCCACCCACCCTCTGGTTCTTTCGTGCTCTGGGTGTCAGGCGGCTTGTGCCCGGGGTCCCCCACCTGCCCTCAGGATGCTCCTCCCCACCGTGGGCCACCTGGGTTTTGTCTTTTTTCCATTCCGTGCTTCAGGGCTCCCCACTTGGCCTTGTGAGGAAGGGCACCTGCCACTGTCCGCCGGTAGGAGATGCCCCCACACCACATGGTGCCCCTCGCTGGCTCTCGGCCTTTGCCCACTCACGGTGTGCAAGAGTTCGGGCTCTTGGACAGAAGAGGAAACTGAGGCCCAGAGTGGACCCAAGGCTGTGGAGCCAGGGCCTCCGGTTCCCAGACCATGATCGCCTTCCCTCCGTGCTCTCCAGACCAGGAGACTCTCCACAGAGTCACCCTACTTTGTTTTTATTTAAAGATCATATTTATCGGGGTTCCTGGGGGCTCCGTCGTGAGGCGTCTGTCTGCGGCTCAGGTCATGGTCCCATGTCAGGCTCCCTGCTCATTGGGGAATCTGCTTCTCCCTCTGCCCGCCCCCTCCCCCCCCCCCCCCCCCCCGCCGACCTTGTGCTCACACAGTCTCGCTTTCTCAGTAAGGACATAAAATCTTACTTATTTGAAAGCGAGAGAGAGCTCGGTGCAGTGGGGGTGGGGAGGGCGACTCTCAGGCCGACTCCAGCTGGGCTCAGCGCAGGGCTGTCTCACCACCGAGATCATAACCTGAGCCAAAACCAAGAGTCAGACACCCAACCGACAGCCACTCAGGCGCTGCTCCCTCATTTTTTTTTTTTTTTTTAAGATTTTATTTACTTATTCATGAGAGAGAAAGAGGCAGAGACAGAGGCAGAGGGAGAAGCAGGCTCCATGCAGGGAGCCCGATGTGGGACTCGATCTCAGAACTCGGATTACGCCCTGAGCTGAAGGCAGACGCTCAACCACTGAGCCACCCGAGTGCCCCCCCTTTGTTTTTCAAGAGTATGATTGACACCCAGAAAAGCAGCAGAGACCCCAGAATAGAGGCTAGTCCTTCCCCAGGAGGGTCATCGGCAGCCTCGTGCTCGCGCGCCCTCCCCGTCCCGGGCTGGCGGGGCCTCCGGGTGGGCTGGTGTGTGGGGGCCGTGGGAGGTGGCCGGGCTGTGGGTGAAAGTGCTCTCTCCCCAGGGACCCCGAGTTTGTCTTCTATGACCAGCTGAAGCAGGTGATGAACGCCTACAGGTGAGCCACCCTGGACCAGCAGCCGTGGCGCCCCTGGGTCACGGCCTGGGGTGCGTGGTCCGGTGTCATCTGGGGACATCTGGGGGTGGTGAGGTGAGGCAGGCTGGTAGCCACGTGGTCCCCTGACCCTGCCTACCGCCCTCAGGGTCAAGCCCGCCATCTTCGACCTGCTTCTGGCCGTGTGCATAGGCGCCTACCTCGGGATGGCCTATACGGCAGTCCAGGTGAGCAGGGGGGAGGGAGGTACAGGTGGGAGGCCAGGCCCCCCCGTGGGAGGGGCGACCTGGCCAGGTGAGCCCTCGGCCCCCATGCTCGCTGCCTGGGAGCGGTGGCCCCACAGCGGGCCTGGCCTTCCTCGGGGTGGCTTTGCCCCCAGCCTCACTCGAGCCCTCCCGCTGCCTGCAGCACTTCGACCTCCTGTACAAAACAGTTCAGAGACTGCTCGTGAAGGCCAAGACGCAGTGACGGGGCCCTCGCCCGCGCCGCGAGCCCCTGCCTGCCGCCACTCCCCACTCCTCCGCGCAGGAGGGCAAGGCTCCGCCCCCGGCTCAGGCCGAAACCCTGAATTAGAGCTTTTCTGTGTTGCTCTTGAGGACTTGGGGGATTCTTTCTCTGTTTTGTCCTTTGAACTCCCTCGGAGGAGCGTTTGGTGGAGGTCCCCAGGGGCCAGGCCACAGACTTGGGGATGCGTCTGCAGAGGAGCCCCCAGCCCCAGAGGCGGCCCCGCAGCCCTCAGGGCTCGCCCACTGTGGACGACAGAGGAGACGTGCCCAGCACCGCCTCAGCGTCCCTCCTCTGGCCCACGACCGACCGACCGACAGACGGACCGATGGACCGCAGCCCGAGGGGCAAGGGGCCTCCTTCGCCCACCACACCGGCCAGACCACTCTCTGCTGACTCAGATGCTCCCCCTCTGGTCTGAAGAAGGGCAGCACTGGCCTCTAGGTCCCCAGGTCCTGACCCCTCCCTGTGTCCCCCACCCTGGCCCGGGCTGCGGGGAGCCGCCTCAGGGTGCAGCCTTGGAATGCGTCTCCCTCGAGCCCCCGTGGACACTGGTGCCCTGAAGACCCGGCGGCCTCCCGGCCCGGCTCCCTGTGCCATTGACCTTCATGTGTGTTTCTTACCGTCTGCCCCCACCCACGTGCCCTGGGGAGCTTGGGCCTGCCCCCCAGGAACCTGGGTGCCTTTGGAGCCCCAGGGGCAGGAGGCAGCCGTGGAGCAGAGAGGAGGCCCCTACCCGCCCCCACCCCTTCCCTGACCTCAGGCTCTCTGGGCCTCGGTTTCCTCATCTGTAGAAAGGAGGTGTGTGCTGGGGCAGCTGGTGACCCCGTGTCCTAGGAGGGCGTCCAGGCTGGGGGTCCAGGGAGAGCATTTGCTGGAGAGGATGTGGCCGCGGCCCCCATGGGGCTGCCCTCCCAAGGACCTGGGATATGGGGAGGACGGTCCAGGCCCGAACCCCACAGATGAGGCTTTTGTAGGGGAGGGGGTGCGGAGGAGGCGTCTAGCGCTGCTGAGATTGATCTCAGGGAGACCCAGGCGTACAGATTCATTAGCAATATAATCATTTAGGCGTTCTGAGCTAAGGGCAGGGTCGTCATGAGGGAGAGGGCTCTGGGCGCCCGCCTCAGCTTCCAGGGAGGCCTTAATAAGGTGTGGGGGACCCCAGCTCCCTCCGTGTGCCCCCAGCCAGCCCCCCTCAGAAGCCAGCTCGCCACTTGCTGCGGGGACGGGGATGGGCTCCTGGGGGCCGCGTCTCTAACTCCGCCTCGGGCCTCCTGCCTTCCGAGCCGACCCCCCCCCCCGCAGGGCTGTGGTCCCAGCCTCCCAGGGTGGGGCAGGCATGGGGGCCACAGGCTCTCCTGTCCCCCTCACCACCCCCTCCCCGCAGCCAGTCTTCCCCCAGAGACTGTTTACCGAAGCCGGGCTGAAGCCCAGCCAGCCCGGCCGCCTGCGGGGGGCAGGACGCGGGCACCGGCGTTGGCTCAGGCGCCCAGTGGGTGTCCTCGGTGTTGGCTCAGGCGCCCAGTGGGTGTCCTCCTCCCGGGGGCGGGATGTCAGGACTGCCAACTGTTCAGGGCTCAGGCTGGTTGTGGGACGCACTTGGACGATCAGAAAATAAAGCCATATCGAATGATGAGCGTTGCGTGTGCTGTCGGGGGGGCTGGGGCTCAGGATTTGAGCGTACCCACTCCTCGGGGGGCTGGCCTTCGTGCCCCCGCCGTGCCCCGTGGTCTCGCCCTCCTGCCCCCCAGCTGCCAGGTGGGGTGCAAGCCAGCTCCTCATCGGGGAGGGGGGGACTGTGGGGCGTGCGTTTCCCGGGGCAGCTGCGCCGCACGCTGGGCGCCTTCAGGCAGCTCTGAGGCCAGGAGTCCGAGGGTCAGGGCGCGGGCGGCCAGTGGCCGTGGGGTTCCTCCCCCGGCTCTCACGGCTCATAGACGTCAGGCTCCAGCCTCTGCATCCCTGTTCCCGCGACATGACGGGTTCTCTCTGCATCTCCTGCTGTTTGAGGACCCCATGTGGGGTGGGGGCCCCCCTGTCCCCTGCGTGCCCTACAATGCCATCTCGACCCATCACATCTGCATGGATCCTCCATCCAGATCAGGTCACATGCTGAGGTCCCAGGGGATGTGGATTTGAGGGGGGGGGCACATTCCACCCAGGTTGGGGGGGCAGCAGGTAGACCCGGGGAGCCCGGTCTGGGCGTGGCCCTCGGTCCACCCAGCTCCGCCCGTCTGCGAACAGCGGCCGTGTGCCCTGCTCTGTGACGTTCAGCAAGAACAAAGGGAAGGTCTGTCCTCAGGAGCTTGTGTTCTGGGTACCGTGGTGGGGGGGTGACCGCACGTGGTCTCGGGGTGCCTGCGGTTTGGAAAGATCTTCCACCTGCTGGGGTGCTCACAGGCGCCCCCAGTGGCCGCTGCTGGGGGACGAGGGTGGGAGGGGTCCGGGTGGAGGGATGGGCTGGACCCAGAGCGGGGCCTAGAGAGGTGCATGGGCTGGGCCTGCAGCGGGCACAGCTCGGGTGCTCCAGGGTCGCAGCCACCTCTTCTCAGGCCGGCTCCTTCCGTGCTGCCCTCCCAGCCCCAGGGCTAGAAGGCAGCCCCTGCCCCGACCAGGTGGGAACTCCCCACGTTTCGGGGGGGAACGCCAGCCTGACAGCTCGGATAAACATGCAGAGGCTTCCTTTTTACGGAGAAAGTTCCGTAGCCTGAAACCAGGAAAACGAGCCACCAGGAGCCACAGCCGGGGTCTTTCATCCCGTGTCTCAGCGCCCGGGGGCATTTGCAGCCGCTCGTCTTGAGGATAGGGTTTGGGTGTAAGTCTTGGTACGGTTGAGCCTTACCGTATGGGTGCATGTAGGTGCATGTCCCCCCGCCCCCCGGGGGAAAACCCTCGTGGATCTTTCGACTTCCCAGAGCGCACTGCTGCCCAGAAGCCCGGGCGGTGACACGAGAGTCGACGGGCCGTGTTACCATGTTCCGTGTATTTCGCGCCGTGTTCCCGAAGTAAAGCGAGAGAACCAGTTGCTAAAATTACAGTCGGAGACAGAAAATAGATCACAGGGCTGCCCTGTAAAAGGTCTGCGTGCAGGTGGGCCCCCGCGGTTCAAACCTGCGTTCGAGGGTCGGCTGCCTTTCTCTCTAAATGGCTTCTTTTTTTTTTTTTTTTAAGATTTTTTTATTCGGGGATCCCTGGGTGGTGCAGCGGTTTAGCGCCTGCCTTTGGCCCAGGGCCCGATCCTGGAGACCCGGGATCGAGTCCCACGTCGGGCTCCCGGTGCGTGGAGCCTGCTTCTCCCTCTGCCTGTGTCTCTGCCTCTCTCTCTGTCTCTCTCTCTGTGTGATTATCATAAATAAATAAAAAAAAATTAAAAAAAAAGATTTTATTTATTCATGAGAGACACAGAGAGAGAGACAGAGACACAGGCAGAGAGAGAAGCAGGCTCCCTACGGGGAGTGCGCTGTGGGACTTGATCCCGGGTCCCCAGGATCACGCCCTGAGCTGAAGGCAGGCACTAGACCGCTGAGCCGCCCGGGGATCCCCTCTAAACAGCTCTTTGGGGCACCCGGATGGCTCAGTGGTTGAGCGTCTGCCTTTGGCTCAGGGCATGATCCTGGAGACCTGGGATCGAGTCCCGCATCAGGCTCCCCACGGAGAGCCTGCTTCTCCCTCTGCCTGTGTCTCTGCCTCTCTCTGTGTCTCTCATGCATAAATAAATAAAACCTTAAAAAAAAATAAACAGCTCTTTGCTGGTGTGGCAGGCAAGCCGCGAGCAGCTGGTGTGTGAAGTGTGCAGCGTCCTGTGCACACCTGTGAGGCCAACCCTGCACCAGGGTGGGGAATGGGGCAGGGGTGGGCACCGGGTGCCGGGCTGGGCCTGGGGACACATGGTGGGGGTGTCCACTGTCCCGGCCGTCCCGGGGCTCATTGTCAGCAGGGGAAGACAGGGAATGACAACAGATGGAGAATGGACCGTGAGACTCCCTAAAGGGGGCTTTTGAGTGAAATTGGGATGAGGATTCAGCCGTGTGGAAGTTAGGGATGGTGGTGTAGGCATTGAGGCATTGAGCGGCGCGTGCAAAGGCCCCGGGCGGGACTGTGCCTAGTGTGAGGAGCGGGCGAGCCGTGGGGGGAGCAGGAGAAGGGGCCCCTGGGGAATGGGCAGGACGTCTGCATCTGACTCTCAACGTGATGGGGAACCAAGGACAGGGTGTGGCCTGACGTGGCATTTGGCAAGGTCACTAGCTCCTGGAGGTCAGTTAGGAAGATGGTTTGGCTCCATGCGCTTCCCGGGCACCGGTGAGCTTCATCTTCAGTGTCATTAGCCCTGGGCAGCTGCAGCAGACATCTGGGCGAAGGCCAGAGGCCCTGGAGCCTGGACCCCCAAGGTTGTGCTTGGACCTCCGCCCAGGGGTCTGTGCTTCGGGGCAACAAAGCACAAGTGAGTCTCCTTCCAATCTACCTCCTCCTCCTCTCCCCGGAGACATTTGTTCCCTGTCTCTATCCTTTCTGTTCTTTTTTTTTTTTTTTAAAGTAGGTTCTTACATGGGGCTTGAACCTGTGACCCTGAGATCAAGACCTGAGCTGAGATCAAGACTCAGAGGCCTAACCAACTGAGCTCCTCAAGCGCCCCTTTTTTTATTCTTTAAAATACATTTTTAGGGGCGCCTGACTCAGTGGCTGAGCATCTGCCTTCCGCTCAGGCCATGACCCCGGGGTCCTGGGATCAAGTCCTGCCTCAAGCTCCCCGTGCGGAGCCTGCTTCTCCCTCTGTCTGTGTCTGTCTGTCTGTCTCTTTGTGTGTGTCTCTCATGAATAAATAAGTAAAATCTTTAAAAAAAATGGGGTGCCTGGCTGGCTCAGTCGGAGGAGCTCAGTCTTAATCTCGGGGTTGTGGGTTTGAGTCCCATGTCGGGTGTAGAGATGACTTAAAATACATTTAAAAAATAAAAGCATTTTTACACACATCCCTAGGAAGATGCGGACGGCGTTTCAGGACTTTTGTGTCTGGCGTGAGCGTCTTCCGTAGACAGCATCGTGCTGTCCTTGTCCTGCGTCAGCTTCCTTTCACAGTCCTTGCCCGTGCACGCGCCCTTCCGCCCCCCATCCTGGAGGGTGCTCTGCCGACGGCACACGGCTCTGCCCAACTTCCAGCATCGCACACCCCCGGCCCCAGGAGGGAGCGCGTTTACCCGGAGGTCAACACGCCGGCGGCCCCCAGCCTGGCCCAGCCCGCTGCCTGTGGTTGTAAATAAAGTTTTATTGGCACAAGCCCCCCCACCTGGTTATGTATCACCTGCCAGGACAGAGCAGTAGGGACCCTGTGCCCTCCCAAGCCCACGCAGCTCCATCCAGGAACAGCCCGCGAGCCCCCGCCGACGTCTGGTTTTCCTCTCACCGGGGAGGAACTGGCCACCGCCAGCGACAGAGTGGACCCTGGTCTTTGGGCAAGAAGGCACAGCCCTGGCCTCTGAGAGACGCTCTTGTGTTTGGCCACCCCAAGAGGGTGGTGGGGGCGCTAGAGGACACGTGGCCCCCACGGGGCTGCAGAAATGTGTCCACCGGTGGCCCTCGGTCCACGCCGGGCGCCTGCCCAGGACCAGTGTCCTCAGGGAGGCCGGGAGAGAGGTTCGCAGCCCCGGGCGGGTCTCCAGGGACGGACGGGGTCTCCGCCCGGCGCTTCAACAAACATTTGCTTTCTGTGTCCTAACTTTTTACTGGGACATAATTTCGGGAATATGGACAGCAAGCACCCTCTAAACCCTTCGCGCGCTCTGGGAACGCGCACGTTGCGCACCTGCTTCGTCCCCTTCTCCGTCTCCCTGCCTGTCCCTGCCCCCTTCACCCCTAAACCCGTCCGAGTACGTTTCCTAAAATGCGTGGCGCCGCCGGCCCCCCTCACAGACCGCTCCCCCGGCTCCAGAAGTGGACGCCGATTCCTGGCAAGTTACAGACCAGAGTTGGACATAGGAAGGAATGTTCTAGATCACGCCTGCAGCCCCCCGGGGTCCTGTCTCTTGAGCCTCCTTGACCCTAGAATGGCCCCCGTCTTGGCCTCTTAGGACCTGGATGCGTTTCGGGGTCCTGGGCAGGCTCCTGTAGAGTGGCCCCAGCCTGGGTACCCTGGTGCGTCGGGGGCGGGGGGCAGGGCTACCGCAGAACCAAGTGAAAGCCCGGATGCCGTGTCCTTCCAGAGCATGGAGCCCGGTGATGTGGGCCAGGTGGCATCTGGGGTTCCCCGCCCCCTGCACCCCGCCCCCTGTCGTGTCCCCCTTGAGACTAGGCAGTGGTGGGAGGGGCCCCTCTGTCTGCCCACCTGGGATCGGGCGCTTCCCACCCCTCCCTGCTTCCTGGACCTGCTGGGATTGTACGTCCACGCGTGGTTCTAGTTCTCAGAGGACAGAAGGGAAATTCAACTGTCTTGCCTTGAGGTCGAGCGGCAAACAGGAGACAGAGCTGGCATTTAGGGGTTTGTTTTTTTAATTTAAAACGAAACAGCTTCATTGAGATCTTCGCTTACCATAAAATCCGCCCTTTTAAAGCGCACGTTTCAGCAGTTTGTGGTACGTCCATCACCCCTCATTCCAGAATATTCCATCACCCCAAGAGACAGACGGTCCCCATAGGCTGTCACGCCCC